TGCCCTCTGCTGGTTCACTGTGCCCACATGTGATAGGTAGCACTGAGTTATAAGTGTATTGGACTTCCTTTATTTTTAATGGTGAAATAGTAGATTAGTAGTCTAATGAATGACTTGCTGCTCACGCATATTTTGCAGTAGAAATTAATCAGCATACAATCTTGGTTGGGGACTTTCTGAAGATGGGAGAGGTGGCAGATTGTTTTATTTGATGTTTCTGAGGTTGAGGAATTGAAGAAGATGCTTGATCTAACATTTTATGTCCTTGTTTTCCAAGGTAATAAAAAGAAAGGAAATGTAATAATCCTTACTTATGCTTTTTGTGTCCTTTCCCCACATTTTAATATAATATTTTTTTAATTTTAGACCAAGTGGGAAAACCATTTATTGAATTGAAATATGTATTTTTTACTGTTACTCATGTAGCACTGTCACACTTGAAGACATAATTATGTACACTGATGTTTGCTTCAATATTTGTATGCTGTGTTGAATATTGATACATGCAGTGTTGTATGCAAAGTTAATATATAAAAAAGCCTCACTCCTACAGGTCAGACTATGTAGTGTGGTCCTCTGCGCTTGTTAGAAGTCTTTGGAATGAATCAGGTGTCTGTGTGAGTACAGCAGACATGTGACTACCAGTCTGGGTTGTAGAATATGTGTATATGCAGAACTTGTTTATGTCATCTTGAGGAGGGGCAGCGTGTTGCCTGCGGTTAGTGGTACCTAATCATGGCATGGTAATTGACTGAATAAACAGCTCTGAGATAGGGAGTAACACTTCCAAGTAGCTGTCTTGCTGTATCCTGGATGATCTATAAACTTATACTTGCAGATTTCCAGGAAGAATACTACCTACATCATAGAGTGCTTTCCTTTGGTATGCGCAGAAGATTGGCGAGTGATTGCGATATCTTTCTCCCTGAAGTCAAGCAGATAAACTGTAGTTCAGTGATTCCTTGAGGACTACAGGAGGGAGCTTTTATTTGTACTGATCAGCAAACTCCTTCCCAGTGCTCCTTCCTTTTCTCATAAAAAAATCTGAATTTATAGGCCAGAATACAAACTGGAGTCAGAAATGGTGCTTACTTCTGAAGGTCAGCGTTCTGGAAATACAGTGCTCTCGAGTTTGCTTCTTCAAGAGATAGGCAGTGAAATCTTAGGGAGTACCTGTGAGAAAAGAGCAGTCTCATGTATATTCATATTCTCTTTTTTTCTTCTCATTTTTTAACACTTCTTCTAGTTTTGTAATGAAGAACACTGTCCTTTACTTTGCTAGAATAAACATGGTTTCTTCTTTAAGCTTGTGTGATGTAGCAGATAGTGATGGATGAGCTATTGTCAGTGTAAAGCATGCTTTTTTTTTTTTTCTTTTTCCTTTTCTTTTTTTTTCTCCTAGAAACAGTCAATCTAAATAGTGTAATGTCATAAAGAAGCTGTTTGGGCACCTGAACCTCACAGTTCTTCTGGGAGCTCTGCAAGTATCATTTTCTGAACTAGAAGTATGCAGTGCCAGGAAATGGAGAAAAACATCTACGCAGATACTATCTTGCTTCTGGGAGTAATGCAGATATAATGCCTGATGGCAGGAAGTTGCATATAGTCACATACAGAAAGTCCCAAGTCTATCTTGTGTTTTCTCAGACTGCAGGATGTAATTCATTATTTTTATATAGGTGACATTTGTTATGTATTGCAGCTGGAAGGGGTGGGCTTTTGTTGTTGTTGTTTAAGTACCTTTAGTCTTTTGAGAAGTCAGAGTACTTAGAAGAATATAACTCATTTTCTGGGTGCTATTGCAACTTACACCTCAATGCTCATGCTATTATACAGACTGCTTTAGATAAAGGACTTCTTCCGTTCAGAACTATTATTTTTTTTTTATTTCTTCTGGGAAGTTTTTTACTTTAAATCCTTAAGTACTCCTTTACAAGTAGGAAATTTTTTTGCTGCCTCATACGTTCATCCTGTCTGGCAGAAATTAATTATTAGGATAGGGAGAAAGTAACTATATATGTCAGTATAGCTCAGCTGTCCAGTGGAAAGGTAGGTGAAGATTCATGTTATATATTTAGTATTGCTTAATAGAAAACACTGAAATTCTATCTTACTTTAATCAGAGAAGTCCTGTGCAAATTTATTTCAATGCAACAGTAAACATTGCAGCCTATCTGACATATTAGAGTAGTTTCCAGTCTAGGCTGACTGAGCACTCTCAGAGTAGAGAATATTATATACGCTTAAAGCTTCATGGAATGCTTCTATTTGTACCAAGAATATTTTAATGCAGGGATTTTGACTGCCTAGGAGCAGCCATGTACTTCTTAAGGTTGGTATTCATACTGCTTTTTCACAAATAAATTAATGGAAACATGGTGAAAATCCAAAGCAATTTTGCCCAAAATAATTGGCAGAGCTGAGCTGACTTTGATTCAGTGTTCTGGCCACTACTAGGTTTTGCCATTTGTTTCAACGCCTTCAGCAGGTGATGAGATCCCTGTCGTCATCATATTATTTATGACAGTTCAGCTTTTTAATGGATTTTCTTTCATCCTTTTGTAAACAGACTGTTTTTATGTCGTCTAGAAGTTAACTGTCAGTACTGATTTACGTCACTGTACTTGAACATAAATCTCCGTCCTTTAAGAATTGTGATTTGTACATGGCTATTAGTGGTTTTAAATCATGAATGAAGGAGGAGCATCTGAAAACCCTTCAGCTTTTCTGTCATATTCAGACCTACGTGAAAATCATTTGCTTCATTTTTATTTCTGGAGCACTTCGTATGGACCTACAGTTATGACTCTAAACTTCCATTCAAACTTTCAGACCCAGTAAGGCCAGGCTTGGAGTACTGTGTTCAGTTCTGGGCTCCTCAGCCTGAAAAGAGACAGGAAAGTACTGGAGAGTGCCCTGTGAAGGGGCACAAAGATGATGAAGGGATTGGAGTATCTCACACTTTGGGGAGGGCGGAGGGAGCTGGGGCTGTTCAGTCTGGAGTCGAGGAAGCTCAGTGTTTGTAGGGGGGGGATGATGAATCTCATCAATGTATTTAAGTAGAGAGGATGCAGAGGGGACGGAGCCAGGCTCTTTTTGATGGTTCCTTGTGCCAGAGCAAGAGGCAGCAGGCACAAACTGGAAGACTAGAGGTTCCCTCTGAACGTTGTGGAACGCTTCTTTACTGCATGGGTTGGTGGTGACAGGGCACTTGAAAGGCTGCCCAAAGGGTTGTGGAGTCTCCACTGCTAGAGATCTCTAAAAGCCACCTGGACATGGGCCTGGGCAGCCTGTTCTGTGTGGCCCTGCTTTTAAGCTGGGGGCTGGGCCAGACAAACTCTGAGAGCCCTTCCTACCTCGACCACACCGTGATCAGTAGGAGACTATCTGAGCTGTTCTGTGCCGTGATTTAACAGCTACTTCAAAGCTGGGAGCTATTCCTATGCCATCTGATATTATTTCCTGTGAGCTGCCATAAGCTGCATCACAACTGAAACCTGGGAGTCTAGTCTAAACAAACATCTTATGTTTCAGCTTGTATAGAATAACAAAAACCTCATTTAATGTGATTTGCATCTTCCACATAGGCAGTTTTTTAAAGAAGTTGTCATGGAATTTAGATGCAATTCTACTTGATGAAATAAAATTTATCAGTTTTTGCTGTTTAATTCCAAGAATATATTTCAATTGGCTAATTTTTAGTAGCATGTTACAAATCATTTCTTCAAACATACCATTTCAAAGGACCTTGTCTTTGATTGGGAATGAATAAATGGCACATGATCAGAACTTTCAGTTCATGTTGTACTTGGAAGAGCATAGCGTGGAAAACAATTCAAAGAATTGCAAAACCAGAAATCTGTAAACCAGACTCTGAAATTTTCAGTAACAATTTTCTAGCCTTCCACCTGAATGTTCCAAGGGCTTACTAAGAAGGATCATATGTAGTGGCTGATGGTACAATTGTACAATTATAAATGTGAAGTGAAGTAGTATTTATGCTCTAGAATAAATTACAACATGAACATTAAAGTCAATTCTACTTCTAGAGTACACTTTGGTATATGTAATATATTGAGAGTGAAGGTCATTAAGTTTAATGTCCAGTAATGTACTAAATTCTTCAGTTCCACTGTAGAAAGAAGCAGATATTTAGATTACATGCTTCTTTGCTATGTACAGTATACAACTCAATTATGTGGAATCTTTATCAGAGAGTAAGAGCATACTGTATAAGATTGCATTCTTCATAACTGGAGTCCGTGAAATAAATTTCCTTTCCTTGTATATGGTTGTCAGTAATATTAAGCAACTTGTTGAAAGACCAGCGCCACTTAATTAAACAGACCTACTTGAAAAAAGGATGTGTTCATACTGATTATTGATAGTGTAACAATTCTGCTTTTGTTTGAAACCTTAGTGTAGGGATCCAGACACCTGTGACTTCAGGAATGCCTCCCCTTAGTACTCTTTCAGGAACTGAATTTGTGCCATGCATTGCGGTAGTTAATGATTTATCTGATCTTTTGCTGTTGCCACAAGTGCAGCCTTATTGGAAGGACTCAGCTGCCCTGCACACTTAGAAGTTCCATTGCTGTAGTTCCAAATTTTAGATAAAATGATAAGCAATTTTCATATGTTTTAATACTTAGTTATTTGGCGTAGGACTACAATGGTGTAATTTACTGATAAGGAAACTATATTTTAATTGTGTTTATTATTATCACATAATTTCCCCGTTTTCCCCCAGTCTCATTTTTCTACTGTTAATCACCATGCATTAGGCTTATACACAAGCTTCCTGTACATTAATTTCTTCAAGGGCACAGAAATGGAGATAATTTCTCATTCCTATACTGTTCTACCAAAGATGAGATATGCTGCTTGTTTCATTGTGTACAACTGTAAATCTGGTAAATTTTTCAATACTCATATCATAGACTTTAAACAAAACGAAATAATAGGAGTATTTTGTCTGTCTCGCACTTTTTGTCTTTCAGAAATTAGCACCTGGAGTTAGTCAGTTTGCTTACACATGTGTACAGGACCATCCGATCTGGACTAACCAGCAGTTTTGGGAAACCACCTTTTATAGCAATGTGCAAAATCAAGTTCGTTCCCTCTACCTTACAGCCAAAGAAGACAACCATGCAGTACAACCAAGACAGAAGGTAGAATATATTAAATATCAAGGCATAAAGAGCTGTAACTATTAGTTAATGTCCCAGTTAAACCTATGGAAGTCTCAATGTGGATGAAGAAAATGTCTAAGTATTTACATATAGTCTTCTGAAAATAAATATTTCACTTTTAGAATATCAACTTTAATCTAAATATGTTGTTTGCACATAATTTTCTGAAGAAAAAGATGCTTTATTTTGCTAACATGCAAACACCTGAATCTCCCCTTGTTGCCTTTACGATTTTTATGTACCACCACTTTTCGTATCATTTTTTCCACACTGGAAGGTGTAGCATTAGATTGTTACCAACCCTAGGCTGGTGTCTGTTGATGGGCATTGTCTGCTTTTTTAGAACTTTTTTCTTAAACTCTCCCATGTGTTTGTCTGTTAAATTAGCTGAACTTTATCTAGTATGAAGAAAAAACATTTGTAGGATATGTGTTCTTTTATAATTAAGAGCAGGTGTTATGTCATTTGTATCAGCAGCCAGATTTTTTAATTCTAGTTCTGTCAGGCTGCATTGTAATTTAGATACATGCTATCTACCTAGTTTGCTCCAAGCAAATGCTAGAATTGGTCTCCAGCCTGCAAAAGCATGAATGTTTCAGCTGATCTGGAAACTGTTCATGTAAAAGCTTGTCTCACCCTGAACATCCTCAAAATTTGGAGAATATCGCATGCATCCAGTAATCAGCTGCATCTGATTAATGTTGATTGTTATATGAGCTAAGTAGAAAAATTAAGGAGAGTGGCTATATTAAAATCATTAAACTACTCTGAAGAAACAGAAACGATCATGTAGCATTAAAAAAATCTAGAAAGAGATTATGTTACTGAGTTAGAAATGTTCACATCATGCTATGCTAGTTCTGCATTTCAGTAAGCTACCTTCAGTCCTTCAAGTTGCTGTAATTATACTCTTCTTAAATCCTATTGCATGTTGCTACTTGCTTTTTCTTTATAAATAAATATGTAATTTAAATAATGGAAGAATTTAAATGAACAATTTAATTTAAAAAGCTTTGACTAAACATTGTTTTGACTAAACATTGTTTCTGAGTCTTAGCTTAGTGTGTATTTGTGTGTTTTCTAGGAGAAAAATTCTGCAGGTCCAGACCACGATAAGACAGCAATGGATCTGGCTGCGGAGCAGTTGCGACTGTGGCCAACTCTTAATAAACAAACTCAACAGGAGCTAGTCCAGAATGAGGAAAGCACAGTTTTCAGTCAGGCAATTCATTTTGCTAACCTCATGGTCTACCTGCTAGTACCACTAGATACAAGTAAGAACAAGTTATTGAGAGCATCAGCTACTGGTGACTGGGAGAGTGGAAGCAACAGTATTGTCACAAACAGGTGGGTACACACATTCACTGGTAATCCAGCATGATGGGGAACTATTTTTGAGAACATACTAGTTTTCAGGACTTAATCTGCATACAAGATTATTTCATTATCTTCTCTTCAAGATTATTATCTCTGGATAATTAATTAAGGGGAGTAGAAATCTAACATGATTCCTCTCAAATGGTAGAACTTTATCTACATTAAATTACTGCCACTTAAGGGAATGTAAGAATGTTATCATTTCAGTAAGAATTTTATTCTACTAATGTGACTGTTGAAGGCAAACAATAGTTTGTGATGGGAAAGACTGTTAGTTTTTCTGTAACTTAGAAAAAAAACCCATCGTGAACCATCAAGAAAGCATATGTATAACATCCTCTAGGTCACAGTTTTTGTGCTGTTGCAGCTTCAAGAAAGACATTTGGTCAGAAAGATGGCTATACCACTGGAGAGAATGTTTGAATACCAAGGAGGCAGGAGGAGTATAAAGAGAATTACTTTACTTAGCACACAAATCAGGATTTCATAGCAAGACTTCTTCCCTTTTTGTTTATTATCTTTATTATCAATTATGATCAGTCAAGTTTCCCACTTGATGAACTTGTAGAACACTGTGTGAGGCCTCTGACATGATGTAAATAGGCTATGGGTCTCCAACTCCCTATGGCAACTTTTTCTGCTGACAAAGCACTTCTAAAATCAGGCATTAGGATCTGATCAATGTAGATTGTGGCATATGTTACAATGTATGGATTTGACTGGCACTACTGTTTATGGGGAATGTTTGCAGATGTTTGAAGTACATCTCCTACTGACTTGCTTGTATTTTCTTGCTGATGCACAAAAACACTGAGGTTGTTTTTGTTTTTGAATGTTTTATTCTTCAACAGCAATACTGATTTAATTTATCCTTGTGTATGTAACCAAAGTATCTATTTCTGTTTTATCATTGTAAATAGCCTACCTAACTTAATGATAAAGAGAAGACAATGTAATATATGTACCAGTATATGTTTTCAGGAAAAGATACAGTGTAGATGTGTCCTACCCAGGTATCAGTTCACGAGCTGAATTTTTCACTTTGGAAATTTCTATTCTTTTTTTTTAATGTCCATAGTATTGCAGGCAGCGTTGCAGAGAGTTATGACACTGAAAGTGGATTTGAGGACTCTGAGAACAATGATGTTGCAAATGCAGTTGTACGTTTCATCACCAGATTTATTGACAAGGTTTGCACAGAGAGCGGGGTTACACAGGATCACATCAAGGGTCTTCATTGCATGATACCAGGTAAGAATTGTGATGAAAATGTGCATTCATAATCTTTCATTTTTCCTTTTTTTTTTTTTTTTCCTGATGGAAGAAATACACGTTTTAGTTACAGTCAATTTCCATAGACGTAGAAGATCAGATTTTTTTCAAGACTATAATTGCTGTTGAATTTCAACTAACTATTTCCCTGATGGTTAAATTTAAGAATTTTGGAATATTGGATTTCCAATTAGATTGCAACTTTTTCTTTCATGTTATGCCAGACTTCATTTGTGATATTACTGATTTCCAGGCATTGTAGCAATGCACATAGAGACTTTGGAGGCTGTCCATCGTGAGAGTAGAAGGCTTCCACCAATACAGAAGGCAAGTATTATGAAACATGTTTGTATTCTTTACAAGTATTAGAATCATACTGTTTAGTCATTTTATTTATTTATTTATTTATTTTATTTCCCTCTTCAGAATGTTAGAAGGAAACATCAAAACATTGTAAGAAAAATTCCACAAGTGATAAATAAAGTGCTTGGCTTTGGTCTCATGAAATATGAACTTAGAAAGCTATTAGAGCCAAATTTTTGATCATAAACAAGCTGTTGCATACCCGCTGTTTTTTGAGACCCAGTTCTCTTTGTTGAGTCCAAACTCCATCTCCCTTCTTTGGAATTAGTCTCATAACAATTTTGTTTTGAATCTTTCTACTCCAAATATAATTAGGCTGAGGTATAACACTGGTATACCTATCATACTTACACTATTTTACTTGCATCAGCCCAAAATTCTACGACCAACTTTACTGCCAGGAGAAGAATTTGTTTGCGAAGGTCTCCGTGTGCTACTGGATCCTGATGGCAGAGAGGAAGCTACAGGAGGACTGCTTGGAGGTCCTCACATCCTCCCTGCTGAAGGAGCTTTGTTCCTTACTACCTACAGAATTATATTTAAAGGCACTCCTCACGATCAGCTGGGTAAGAAAACCTCAACAATGATAAAACTGTGTCACTTTGAATAGATAAAACTTTGAGCTGACCTGTCCATCTATGTAAGCATCAGCACCAAAATGCATCTACCTCTGAGAGTAATTTTTCATGGTCATCATATTGGTATGGTCTTTTGTTATAGGTTTTTACTCTAATATGACAATATTTTATTTTCATTTTGCATTTAACCTAACTAGAATTTATTTCTTCGAATAAGACAACATATGTACTGTCTGTGATCTGTGACTTCCACTATTTCTTTTCATTTGACAGTTTTTTTTCAACTGCTGGAAGTGTGTAAAATGAAAAAAAAAAAAAACCATCATAAGTTAGCAATGTCCTTAAAATTATTATTAATAAATTAAGCATTACTTTTAATATATTTTAAGTGGTAGTTTTTCATCTTTTGACATCTGCCATTTCTAAGCAAATTAAATTCTGTCAGAAGTATAAATTTATCTTTCAAAGTTTGTTGTCATTTGTAAAGAAGTCAGTATAGACCTTTTGTTGTTTATAAGGTGAATAATGAAATATGAACATGATTACGTTTGGAACTGTTTATTGACCCCTTTCCAAACTATGTTTTTGGGGTGCATTTCCAACACACAGAAAAACCCAGAGAATATTTTTCCAACCATCCAAACTGAAAGTAAGTAGATAAAGTAAATGCTTCAGTTGATAGATGGCACTTGGGGATTTATCAACTTTTCAAACATTTTCTGTGAAATTAATTATGTGCAGTTATTTTCCTATTGCTTTGTATATTATAATTCCTGTCTGCTCAGAGTACAATGTGACCAAAACAGATCTGATTCTGTGATCAAACAAGTGTCCATAAATATTATAATTCTGTGGTTCTCAGTGGGAGAGCAGACAGTGATCCGGAGCTTTCCTATTGCATCTGTTACAAAGGAGAAGAAAATCACCATACAAAACCAGCTGCAGCAAAGTATGCAGGAAGGCTTGCAGATCACTTCAGCTACCTTTCAGGTAAAAGGAAGTTTTGTGAAATTTGTGTGAGGTTACCAGCTCAAAATACTTACGAGCAGTACTTTTGTCCTGATACTTGTGAAGAGTTCAGTATCCTGCTCTGTAAAGTCAATAGTGAATGTGTAGTCCTCATAGCAATTCCGTTTGGTTTTTTGGCTCATTTGAAACAGTATTCCTGTTTTCGTATTTGATTTCTTTCTCTCCTTTCCTCATCTTTCTGCTCTGGATCCAGTAGAGAGCTATTCTGAGTCCCAAATGTCTTCATGTGGGTAAGCAGAGGCCAGGCAGGCCAGTGGAAGACTTGCCACTTTACTAGCTTTCTGGAAAAATCAATAATGGAGGGCCAGAGTACATCTCATTTGGAATCTGCCCTTCCAGAAATCTTTAATGTAGCCATTAGTAGCCATTAGTAGCCAGATCCGATGGGCTTCTGTGTGAAACCTCTTGACTTTTGCACAGATTCAGGTATTCTCCTGTCTTTAGAAGCCTCATGAACATGTTCAGAATTTTCAGAAGCATCTGCTGTGGGGCAATTGACGGAGATGGACTTGTAAGAGTGAGGGGTCGTTAATTCTCTTAAGCCTTCCCTAAATGTTTCTTATTGGTGGTAATCTAATATGTGGTCAAATGCTAAGAGATCAAAAGTTGAAGACAAAGGATTTAATATCACAGACTGAAAGCAGACTTCAGAGCTTAAGAAGTGAAATATATTCTCAGGTTAGCTAACGTTAGAAACGTGAGAACAGTCGTGTTTCAATGTCTGAAAATGAAATACATTGTCAGTATTTTATTGGTTGCTTAGACAGTGAACAGTATTTATTTAGTCATCCTTCAATGTTGTATTCAAGAGGATAAGACTAGGAATAACAAATAAGTTAAACAACTCAAAAAAAAAAAAAAAAAAAGTTTTGTTGTGGACTTTTGACTGGACTTACTGAGAACTTTTATTTTCCAGTATTTTTTTTTACCAGGATAGTTAGCATACTTCAATGATGTGCTAAATGCAGGCATAGCTCAATACTTTTAGTGCTGGATTCTGGTCAAACATCATCCCTGCTTTTGTTTAGCATAATTTTGTGCTAGGTTATGAAAACAAAAACGGTCAGCAAACAGTTTACTTCTGTTCCTTTGCTAGGGTTCAATACAGCATGACATAGCAAGCCCCATCTTTGTTTATTAATTAAGACTTTTAGAGTGTTTTGGCTGCAGTTATGGTATTTAACGTCTTTGAAACTTTGCATCAGTGTAACCCCTGAACATTCAAGCTCTCAAGGAGGTCTTTGAGCGACATTTTCATTTGGAATTCTTTTTCATTTGGAAAATACTTACAGAACAGAACAAGTGAAATTAAAAAAAAAAAAAAACATGGAGAAATCCACCTTCTAGGTGACAAACAAGACAGTCAAAAGGTGTATCGGTATGCAGTCAAAAATAAAGGTTAGGATATGTCTTTGTTTGCTATTTCCATATTCTTCAAGCTCTTTCAGGCCATCTTCCAGATTCCCAATTTTCTCCATTTTTTTAAAATTCCTTTTCATCACAGAGCTGACTCTCATCCTTCTGACTAAGAATGATAGGAATATATATATGTGTATTTAAATAACTTTTCAAAAAGCATTTTTAATGGGATAAATAGATCAGTGTTGAATAGCACAGGATTAGTTACTTTCCAAGGATCTGATTTCACTGTTACTAGCTGTTTGTTACTAGCTGTTTTTATGCTTCTGGAATTGGAATAACTAAATAATGGAAGTATAATGGTTGTGATATATGAATGCTGAATTCATTGCCTTGATTAGAGTAAATTACCAAATTTGCTTCCCTGTATATAGCAAATCTGAAAAAATAGTTCTGATCTGAGCTATCCCATGTGACTAGCACTTTAACTGTTGTGGATATTGTAGTGCCAATACATCCACTTAGATTACCCAAAGTATTTTGTGTTTGGTGTTATGAGAATTCCAGATGCTTCATGGTGAAAATATCTTAGTATTACAACATCAATACTAAAAGCAAGTAAAAAGTTGAACGAGGTATATAATATCCCTCAAAATCAATAAAATATACCTACATACATATATTTGTATTTTCTGATACGTGTTGTACTGCCTAAGTATGAAGATTATGCTAATATATTTTAGAATCTTTTGATTTGTTTAATCCTGGAAATTCATTTATTTTTTTAAGTTCCTAACGTGCCCTGTCTTTAATATGCAGTTAATTAAAGTAGCGTTTGATGAAGAAGTAAGTCCTGAAGTGGTGGAAATATTTAAGAAACAGCTAATGAAGTTCCGTTATCCTCAGTCTATCTTCAGCACATTTGCATTTGCAGCTGGACAAACAGCACCACAGATAATTTTACCAAAGCAAAAAGAAAAGAACACTTCATTCCGGTATCGTTATCCCTCTTCTTCTATCACTGACGTTCTTGTTTACTTCTAGTCAGATTCCTTAAATAATCAGACAGCTTTTCAGAACTCCGAGCATCTAGTTAGTTTGACATTCCAGAGAACTGACAAAATGATATTCCCTGTCTTTTAATGTTTACAGAATAAAAGGGAGGTTGATATGAAATAAGTGTTGATATAAGAATGTATTATTTATCCAAACTTATTGCTGCAGCAATTTTGAACAAGTGTCTAATTAAATTTTTGAATACATACAATATTAATAACATGTTCAATTGTTTGGACCAATCCAACATAAAAACAGAGTTCTTGTGTGTTAAATTATGTGTTAGTTACCTAATGTAGAGTAGAATTCATTTTTCCCTTAGTAGAGTCTGTATAGTTGTCCCAGTGTTCTTTTATCATCTAGAGTTTCAGCTTTGGGTCCTCTTAACTTTCATGTTATACATTAATTTTTACTAGACTAGACTGATCATCGTTTAATACCCCTGAAAGTGGTACTTTCAGTGATTCTATGTTGATTATTGCATTGGTGACACATGGAAGTGTCAGAATCCTAAGCAGTCATAGAACCTTAAAACTTTAAGGCAATTTATGTCCTTCTTGCCTCACTCTGTCAGCTTCATAGATTTCTTACATTGCTAGCAAAATATGAATACCTAAACAAATATTATGGCTGTCTATTCATTATATTACAAGTAATAGGCAAATGGCATTTAAAAATTAGTATAGGAAGTCATTTTTCTGTTAGTTTTAATTTTGATGTAAAACGAGAAATAGAAACGTGTTTTCTTTGAGTGAGGAAGTTTATCATAAAAATCTGTACATGCTATTGAGAAGAACGTATCAATCTTTTAAAATATTTTTTTTTTTCTATGAATTTATAGTACCTTCTCAAAAAGCATTGTGAAAGGAGCAAAACGTGCTGGGAAGATGACAATTGGTCGCCAGTATTTGTTAAAGAAGAAGACGGGCACAATAATGGAAGAAAGAGGGAATCGTCCAGGCTGGAATGAAGATGACGATGTCTCTGGTAATAGTAAAGCAATTTCCATTTTTGTTGATATGTCTATCTGTCATGCTTCAGTTTCAGTATGTTAGGTGAGTAGTATCTTCAGGAAGAAATTGCAGGAAATTGCAGTCTTCCTGGACAGGGAGGAGAAGTGTTTCAAATAGTGCACTGGTTAAACCTTTTGTGATGACTGGACATATAGGGTAAAAGAGGAAGCCAGCTTCATTCAGTGGTAAAGCAAAAGAGACTTTTTTCTAATTATCAAACTATTTTCACATAATATCTTTAGAAAGCCTGACATTACTTTGTCTGTAAAGAGAAAGCAGTAATTGGTGAGGGTCAAGGAACAGCAAGTATTTTATGGGCAAATTTTGTCTTTATGGAAGTGATCAATGATTTCTGAAGACAGCTGAAGACTTAATTACTGAAAATACCATTTTTCCAAACTTCGGTTGAAAAGAATTGGGGAGATAAGTTAGAAAGTGATTTGGACACTTTGTGTAGTGTAATGGTGTGGACTTTGACTTTCTTCCAAATACTTCTTTTCCTACCATGTGCTGCTGTCAGTATATCCTTATCTGGACCACTGCTAATTTATAATAAGCCACTAGAGGGAGCCAGATTCTCCTGTACATTAACAGGTATTGTTTTGTCATACCATTCTTTCTTTAAAAAAAAAAAAAAAAAAAAAAAAGTAGCATTTCAGATAATGAAGTGTTTAGGAAACATCAAACAAACCAAATTTACCTTCTGGATATTTAGTCAGAGATCAAGGTGACTTACATGATTTATGTGCAGATAAATAAAAGTTATCTGACACCAAACTATGTTACTGCACATTCTCTGTTCTCTCCCAGAGTAAAAAGGGCCATTCCAGGAAAGTTGAAAAATACTGATCCTCTTCTTTCATTCCAGATAAATATGGTGGGAAAAAAAGGCAGGAAAAAAAAGGTTATGAAATACAGAATGTCTTTACACAGCTGAAAAGTTACATTCTTAATTGAATTTCCAGTCTCTTCCTTAAGTGCTGCGTTACTATGTGTTCTAATGTTGTGGAATCTTCAGCTCAGAAGGAATTCTGCAAACTAAGCCTGTCCTGGGTGTGATTTTGTGTCCATCACTCAGAGAGACCAAGCATTATCAAGCCTGTATGTTTGTACTTGTTCTCATGACAATAAAGAAATCCTAAGAGTTTCTGCATTGCCTGTGTACAAAACAACTATATTCTTCTGTGAGCACACAACTATTAATGACAGTCACTTTTTCCCCTCACCTGACAAAAATACAGAAAGATAAATTGCTTCCTACCTGCTGCTTTCCAGATGCTGTGACTAGGTATATGTAAGGTGATTAAAGTCTGACAGCTTGCTTTTTTCTCTGCACTGCACTGTCATTAGAGCTGTAGTACTCCTCATTTCAGAGAAAGTGCAAAAATAGCCGTAGAAAATTTTCCGTTAATTAGTGCAATTTGTTTTGTATTGACTGCTGCAAATTCCTCTGTGTTTGCAAGTCTCAAAAACTGAAGTTTAGGGAATTATGCAGTTACACCAACAATGAATCAAACAGAACTGTCTGCAGCAGGTGATGCACTGTCTTGTAAAAAGAAGCATTGAAGATGGGGGCAGAAGGAACTTCAGGAGATCATCTACTCCATCTCTCTCTCCAAGGCAGGAGCAACATACTTTACATGTTCTTCATAAATGCTTACCTAACTTTTTCTTAGCTTTCAAAGATGAAGATTCCGTAATGCCAGGCTATTTATTCTGATGCTTGAACCACCCTTAATGCTGGAGGAAAGCAAACAACTTTCTGATGTTCTGCCCTAAACTTCTCCTTGACACATTTTATATCCTTCACTTTTTATTCTGTGAATATGTTCATATAAAAAGGATGGCTCCCTTAATTTGAATTGCAGTTTTTAATATATTTTTTGGAATATTACAATGTTTCCTTTCTCTTTTCTTTTCTGGATATTATCTGTAGTTCTTGTCAGTCGGACTTTATAGAATTCTGAGTATCTTCATCTCTCTTCTCTAGGTTGTCTTTAACTAGTCCATGTATAACTTCAGTTTCATTTCCAGAATTGGGCACAATACTCTAGAAAAAAAATGTTGTTAATGAACACCTGGGTTTTTTCCCCTTCCATTGCCTCCTAATCTTCATATTTTCAGAGAGTTTTGAATGACGCTATTACTAAAAATCTGTTTTCTGTGGGTGATGATAGTGATATATTCCAGAAAAAAGGAGGCTATCTGTAAAATATGCTTGTATATAGCAGTCATATCTCAAGAAGAGTAAAACAAAGGGTCTCTTCCTCATGTTTTCAAAATCAAATAAAAACAAAAGGCATTTAGAACTTGAGATAGAACAGTGTCTTCCCTTTTCAAGTTAACACTGATAAGAGCTCTTATAATCTCTAGCTTTTTACACCTACAGGGAAATGATTTGTAAATTGTGATATCCAACCTAGCTGCTTTCATGAGAGAAAAGTGCATTTAGGGGAAAAAAAAATTTGAAAAATGCACCCTAGTCTTATCTAAGACAGTTACAGCATTCAAAACTTTTAAATACCGAGCTTCTGTATTACCTAAAATAAAATTATTACAAAATCTTGTTTAATTTGTTTCTCTCAGTGAATTTCATAACTTTACATACTTTGAAACATCTTTCTTCTTCTTCAGGACAAATATGAAAATATAGAAAAAGAGGAGATATCCGTAGCATTGAAGTTTTCATTATTTGGCTCAAATAGGGAATAGTTATTTTTGCATGATGCACCACAAGGCAATAAAGTTATTCAGGTAGCTTTTATGCTAATATGCACAAAAAGCAGAGGTATCTAAAATGTACTTCTTTAAATTCTGAATGTTATCTGGTGACAGGTTTTGTGTCTTAATTTTAGTTTTCAACTGTAATTTTAATTTTCAATTTTATAAAGTCCTGTTTAAAATTTAAATCTTTCTAAACTTCTCAGTGCCAAATTGTTAAAGAAATGCTTCCTCTCAGGTGTGCATACTTTAATGCTTGAGATGAAATGAGAGCAACTGATACGTACTGCAGACAGTAAATCTGCTTTCAGTATTTGGAAATAGTGAAGTGTTGATAACAGGCAGGTGGCAGATTTTGTATGAAGACCTTGCTTGACTTGAATTTCAGTGTAGTTTGAACTTGTGGCGTGGTTTTTATCTCACGATTAGAGGTTTTTCTGCTTTGGAATATGAAACTGATGTGCATGGCTGAAGAAAGTTGCTGTTCAACATTGAAACCGAAGCATTAAGAAGCCAACATTCACCTACCCATGAAAGAAATATTTTTATTTTAACCAAGCTTTAAAAAGGTTGTTTTATCTTTTGAAGATTGTTTAAAAGAATTAGGAGATCAATTTTATCTTGGATGTTTCATGAATTTGTGCTCATTTTTAATTGTTCTGTCTCATGTACCGCTGTTGTGAGTTTGACTTGTTTGAATAAATACACAAGTGCAAGAAATACTGCCTCAGTTCTGCTCAAGTGATTGTACAGGAGACCTTTTTCTGGAATTTGAACATGAGAGGTGTCAGCCATAGGGCAGTAGGTAGCTGTGAGATGAATTGAAGTTTCTTGACTGAAGTAGTATTTTGTTGCTTATAATTTCTGTGAACTGTAGTTTATATTTATTAATCATTAACAATAAGACAAACTAATAATAAGTTCAGAAAATAGCATTGTTTTTTGTAACTGCTGACCTTCACAATAGCAAGCTCAAAGATTTTTAACTTTAGTTTCAGATGACAGTGAGCTGCACACAAGTGGTACCCTAAAAGCATCAGAGAAGTCAACAATGGAGCAATTGGTAGAGAGAGCCTGTTTCAGAGACTATCAACGTTTGGGATTAGGGACCATCAGTAGTAATACTTCTCGCTCAAAAATGGAATACTTGAGAATAACTGCACTGAACAGAATGTATTCACTTTGCAGAAGGTAAGTTTACCAATTCAGACATGGAAATAAAGGTGGTGCGACCACAGTGAGGTGGTAGGTGGTGTGTTTCAGCAGTGCTGACAGTGACAGTGGGTCATCTCCACTGGTCCAGGTTGTTACAGGAGTATCACCAAGGCTGTTGTTTCTTGCTGGTGAAAACGCATAGCTTACCTGGTAACTATGTTGAAAAATGGTATTTTGTAGCTGAGAATTTTCTCTATCAAATAGTGTCAATGTGCACTTTATATCTGTTGTATTTTCATATCAATATAGGAGGCATTACTTTTGGAGTAGTCTGCATACATTCAGCCTGAAATTATAGGATTTTTTTTTTTTCATTGTTTACAAACTTGAGAGCAGATTTAATTGTTGTTCTATTTTTTTTCACTCGTCAATACAGTTACCCTGGGCTTCTGGTAGTACCTCAGTCTGTTCAAGACAGCAGTTTGCAGAGAGTTGCTCGCTGTTACCGTCACAATCGCCTACCAGTTGTGTGTTGGAAAAACACAAAAAACAGTTCTCTTCTACTTAGATCTGGGGGCTTTCATGGCAAAGGTGTTGTTGGCCTCTTCAAATCCCAAAACACACATACTACAGGTGAGCTGATGCAGCCAGCTTTTATTTATATGTATATTTCTAAACTAAATAACATTTGTGTGCATATATATGTGTGTATATATGTAATTTTTTTTAGTTTAGAAATACTTTCTGGAGGAAATCAGGGAGATGGTTTAATCAAAAGTCACAGGATATGGATGTTTATCTGATACTATAATAGTACAGTATAATGTATGTCAAGAATCAGATCATAAATAGTATGAAGGTAGTTCAGAAATGTCAGTTGAAAGCTAAACAGAGATTATATATAAACTAGATAGTCTTCAGTAAAAGCTGCCGCCTGCCAAATGCAGTGTCCCAGAGAATAAAGTATCTTATTTTCTAATAATTCTCCATTTGCCTTCATTTATCTTTTTTCTTCACACTGGTAGATCTAATGAGTGTATGTAGTCAATTTTAATTACAGAATCACAGAATGGCCAGGGTCGGAAGGAACCTCAAGGATCATGAATCTCCAACCCCCCTGCCACATGCAGGGCCACCAACCTTCACATTCAATGCTAGACCAGGCTGCCCAGGCCCCATCCAAACTGGCCTTGAACACCTCCAGGGACGGGGCATCCACAACCTCCCTGGGCAGCTGTTCCAGCACCTCACCACTCTCTATGTACAGAACTTCCCTCTGATATCCAACCTAAATCTTCCGTCCCACAACTTAAAACCGTTTCCCTTTGTCCTGCAGTTATCTACCCTTTCAAAGAGTTGATTGCTCTCCTCCTTTAGGTACTGAAAGGCTGCAATGAGGTCACCCCGCAGCCTTCTTTTCTCCAAGCTGAACAAGCCCAGCTCCCTCAGCCTGTCTTCATAGGGGAGGTGCTCCAGTCCCCTGATCATCTTTGTGGCCCTCCTCTGGACCCTCTCCAACAGCTCCCTGTCTTTCTTGTACTGGGGGCTCCAGACCTGGACGCAGTACTCCAGATGGGGCCTCACAAGAGCAGAGTAGAGAGGAACAATCACCTCCCTGTCCCTGCTGGCCACCCCTCTTCTATTGGAGCCCAGGATACCATTAACTAATATATAAAATACTAGAATAAACATTATCCATTAGATTTTCTGATGTCTTTCAGTGTAATATTAGTTTTATTTTTATCTTTCTTTTGTAAAGCATAGATCTGAAAGATTCTCTTTGGGGTCTTTCTATTAATTAAATATTTGTCAGACTAGTTAGATTTTCAGAAGAATTTCACATATTCAGTCAAATTTAGTTTTGGAAAGGACATGAGTCAACTTTCATCAGTAACCTGCAGTATGAAGGACATTTCTTGTGACTGCCTAAATTTCTATGTCTTATGCTGATGGTTTCTTCATTCCAAAAGTGAATTTGTTATGTATTGCATAGTTTGTCTTAGGGAAATTTTCAAAAACTTAACAAGCATACTATGCAAATAAGTGCAAGTTGGATATAGGTGGATCGAAGACTCATGACAGAAGGTAACTTGATTTACAAAGTCTTTCAGGTGAAGTTTCCCTTCTTTAAATGTCTTTGTGAAATCATCATTTTTAATATTTTCAAAGAATAGTTATTGTCTGACACAATATTTAGCTGCATTTTTTTTGTATGTGTGTGTGTATCAAATTCACCTTAAAAATCACAAAATCTCAGAAATATTACAAGAAAATCTTTCTTTTTTTTTTCTTCAGTGAATGTCTTGACTGGCTGTTAATGTTAACTTTTGAATCACTAGTCTGAACATTCAATAGTATAGTTTTGATTTAGTGCATCTCTTTTCTGGTCTGCACGAATGTATTTTAGTTGGTAGGTAATACGTAGAATTTTATATAATACTTTTTTTTTCTTGAAAAGATTCTTAAAATGAGCCAGTGAAGTACTACCAATAGTAAAATAGTAATTGCCACACTTGAGCTTTGCCAGTTGCTCCATAGGCTTTAGATGCGAATCTGAAGCATGATAATTCAAATGCTGGTCTTATCAGCTGGTTCTTTACTGTTTGTCTTAGGTAAAATAACTGGTCAGCCATTTTAGCATGTCACCCTCATATTTCTGGTAGTATGTTAGGAAACAGTCTGTTTGACACTGTGTCTGATATATCAGATGTTAATTTCCACTTCCTTTAAGAGTGAAGGGTTGTGGAGACTCCTCAGGATGTTACTGTGAGGGAAATAAAAAATTCTATAGGATACTTATTTTTAATGAAGTTGAAACTTGGTGAGATAAAACATTTTGGGAAACTGATCACTAAAGATAGTTATGCACAGGTGCTTCTGAATGTATTTGTTTCAGCAGGAGTTGTGTACAGTGCAGGGTCTGTACTGAAAATGCACTGTAACACAATCTGAGAGAACAAAGATAATCTCAAAGTTAAATACAAGTTGGTAGGTACATACCTTCCTAAGCAGAGATTCAGTAAAAGATTTTTTATCCAGCAGTTCTGGATTGATTGACAGAAATGAAATGGACCTGCTGCAAATTAATGTTTATGGCCTTCTGTTACATTGTATGTTAAGCAGTTTTTCATCTTTAAAAGACAATTGAGATCAATTGTTTTTATTAGAAGCACATAATTTATTTTCTGGAGAAACTATGCACGGTAGTGAATTGTTCTATGGAACTAAACCATATGCAACAGAATTGTATTTTTCTAACTTCTGTCCATAAAAAAATTATTAACAGATGTCTGAATATGGAATAGAGAATATATTGGTCTTTTCAGAAGTTCCTTTAAACTTGTAGAATGGTTTCTGAATTCCATTTTACCTCTTTTGAAAATTAATTTGCAGAGTGCTGAAGTTCCAAGCATGACATTCTGCACCCAAATACCAAGAGTTGGTCTTCTGCCATGTAGGAAGACCACTTCTGTTTGTTGTATGTAGAAGCACTTTTTAAGAGATCAGCTTTCTTGATACAAGCAAGGGTTGTGCCCATTTATGTCTCTAATGCAGTAGCAGATAGCATAAACAGTGATGTCTTTTGATATAAGTATCCTTTGAGGGGGTAGGCAACAAATCTCAAGGAACTTCCACTTGTAGTTATGTAACCTGCCTTTACTGTTTGAGTATGATTTTAACTTGTTTTCGTTGAAAAACTGTTCTGTCTGTTCACTACACTTTTTTTTTTTTTTTTTTAAAGGCTGGCATTTACTGAGCTGTATCACAAATGTACAAAAGTTGCTCTTTATTCTGAGAATGATTAAAAAGTTACATTTATCTTCATTCTGGTTTTTTTGACCACTGCTGAATGATGGATGTTTTAAATGGTTACCACAGGGTAACAGACTCTTTTAAAAGCTTAACTTTGTGAAGTATAATGCAAGACAACATTGCTGGGTATGCTCTACAGCCAGGTGATGAACATCTGGACATTCTTTGTTATCAAAGAAATGGCTTTTTGAACATACGATGAACAAACCATGAAATTTTCAATGAACTGTTTTACACAGTAAGCGTTTTCTTTTTCTATTCTGTGTATTTATAAATGTACATGTATTTTAATGTATTCCTTTCTTCCTGTAACTCTATTTAGCTCCTGCTTCTTTAGAATCTTCAAGCAGTATAGAACAGGAGAAATACCTTCAAGCCTTACTGAATGTGATATCCGTCCACTGCAAAATGAATAGCACTAATACTCTCACTGTTAGACCAACAATTGCTCTATCACCAGGTAAAATTGTTTTGTGTACTGTTTTTATGTGGTTAAGTCAAAAAGTGAGAAGGGAATCTTCTTGGATTTGGTGTTAGTTCAGTTTGTCTGATATGAATTCTGTTGTTTCTTTTATTGCTACACTTCTCAGGTAGTTTATTCACTCTTCGTTTTAGTGAATGTGTTCTCTGTATGTAAAGGATGTTTTGAAACTTTCCCAAAGTATTCTTCCATATTCTTAATCTGACAGTAAGGGATTCACAGCCTCAGTCCTTCAGAATATCAAGATGTGAGAACTATCCAAATTGGTGGGTTGTTTTTTTACATTATCAAATGAAACGATTGCATTATATATAACATCATAAAAGACAAAGATGCACTTTAATGTGCTATATAACAAACTAAACATCTTGAAAACTCTTGGAATAAGAGACTGCCATCCTGAAGAGACTGTGGAATGCTGGTCCATTTTTTATATTTTTATATATTTTTATTATTATACTCTATATCTATTTTTATACTCTTTAATTAAAAAATACAAGATTGCAATGTTGGATTCTACATAAAGAAAAGTGCTACAGCAGCAGTGGGAGGCATATGGGCATTTTCATGTGTTACATACAGTAGTATTTTAATGCCATTTCTGCATAGAACTTTACTTGCAATGAATACTCTTTCAAAAGACATTACTTAGGTAAATATTTTCTTTCAATTATTATAGGATGAAACTTGATAAGGTTTATATGAAAGTATCCCCAAAGCCTTAAAAAGAAAAGAATGCAACTTGAAATTGTGCCTGTCTTGCCGTATCCAATTGGTTGAAAGATGTGCAATATACCCAAACAGTGGCTTCTCTTGTTAAATAACAGTTTCCAAAGTGTGGATGCTTTGCTTCATGTATTATAAAATATATTGATTGCTTATTTGTATCTAACATCTTCATTCTGTTGCCAGTGTATACATCTGTCTTAAAAAAAATATATCAGAAGTACAAAATTGGTGAGAATTATCTGTATTAAGGATGGAAAAAAATGTTTTCATCATTTATGTTAAGTGTTAGTCTGAGTAACACTGTAGTGTTTTTAATCTTCTATTCTTTTTTTGGCTGACTTTAGGCACTGAAAGGAGGGCTTCAAGAATGTCTACTGTGTTTAAGCAGGTAGTGCCAGGACATTTGGATGTAAATCTATCCAATAGCTTTGCTCGAGGAGGTTAGTAAGACTAGCTCAAAGTCTAAGCACTTTTGTTATTTGAAATAATAAGTGATAACAAAATGTTAGTGAAATTAAAACTAATTACACTGCTTACAAATTTATTACATTATGAAACAGCAAAACAGAAATTACAGATTAGCTTCAATCCACAATATAAGTATCTAATTTTTGTTTTAGTCCTTCACTTACTATTGAAATAAAAGTTATTTCATGATGGAAATTAGTGGAAAAGTAACCACTCAGGAGTTACATTTTCAAATACGTTGTGATTTATCCATATTTTTAATTGACTTGAATTGCGTGGCCTAAAAACACACATTTTACATTCAAATTGATTGGACTTTAGAATCTACAATTCTGCAATTTGTAGCAGCCTGGCATTTGACTGAAGGTTAACTGACACTTCAGCAAGTTACAAATAATCTGAACAATTTAAGTAAAGGAAGGAGTTACATTGCTGTGCCTTCTTTGGGAAGGTGTCATTTTTACAGAAACTCCTCCTGTGACTTCCAGCTGCTTTTCTGAAATGAAATGAATTTATAATCATCTTCTCTGTGCACTTATGTACCTAAATTAGTGTGGTGAATTCCCTAGGTACATTACGTATTTGTTAGAGCTGAATGCTACTGAAGGAGTGTTTTTACGTATATAAAGTTGCTTTTCTTCCTTTATGACTCTACTGAAGTTCATGGAAGTGAAAAAACAGAGAGAGAGCAATCGAATAGGTAAAATGCCTGGGAACCAGAGAGGAGCTTAGTAGTGTCTGGAATTGTTAGGCAAATAGGCTTCTGCCAGTAATGTAATAGTGAAGATGTTGGGTAGCTGACAGCAGATGTTTGGCTGTTTTCTATTTCTTCATGTTGAGGCAGAAGTGCCAGCAGCAAAGTGCCATTGAGGACCCATGAAGATGCCCCAGATGAAAAAAAGAAAAGCTTGCTTGTTGACAGAAAGCATTACTGACATTACTTGTTTCTGGGATTAGAGTTTGTGGTAAATGTGATACTGTGAGCTTCTCAGTGAGGGAAATGTCAGATGTTTTTTGTTGTAGATTGTCTCTTGGCTAGATTTCAGCAGTAATCAGGAACAGGGGCAGGAAAGTTACCTTGTATCTTGCTGGTCTAATGCCACAGCTGCTCTGTGGATCTGAAAGATGTAATTACAGACCAGTACCTACAGTCTGTTCACAGTTCAGCAGGAGTACTTTGCTGAAATGTAAGAATGCTTGACAAGGACAGTGGGAGCCCTGGTGAGGGTGAGAAGATGACAAGAAGAGGGAAAGGGAATATCTTCCTGTAAAGAGGCAAACATGAGAGTGGTTTTTTTAGGTTAGCTAACAGAATTATTTAAGAAGAAACTATACAGTACAAGCTAAATATTAAACCCAAAATTGTTGTTCTCAAATAAGTGAAATCGCATGGTCTATTATCACAAGGATTTTTGCTGCTTTTGCAAGTTACTTACACTGTGCATGTGAAGTTATGGGAACAAACTTATTTTATGCAGGCAGTCGAAAGTGATTCTTCTTTGTATTCCTCAGAATAACTCAAAAAGCAACAAACAAACAGACAAAATGCCACCAAATACCCATCACCAAATAAAAAACAAAATAAAAGCAGTGAGGTGAGCTAGTTACTTTATCATAGCAAGCAGCTTGTTAATGTCTTTCATAAAAGTTGGAACTTTACTCAAAGCTGGGTATCTTTTCTTACATTGCTTGATAACAGTACTGTGGTTCTAAAGAACAGCAATTGTTACCTGGCACTGATGTGTGATTGATAGACTAAAATGCTTTCTCTGTATGATTTGCTGGAAAACACTAGGATATTTATAATGAATAAATATAGACTCATTCATTGATTTTAAAAGCAGGATGTGTTAGCTTTGAATAAGTTTTAATAGAACATTTATATAAAAGGAAGTTGACTGTGTAGATGTAGCTTTGGAGCCAAAAATATGTTTCTGTGCTCCGATAACACTTCCACTGAATATGAGTATTTATGCAAGGGAAGTGGGGGGAATTTTTTTGTGTGATACATATTAGAAGTTCTCTAAATTCTATGGTCTTACACAGTCCTTTAAGAATTTGTGTAGGTGTATAGAACTAACATCTTACATTCCAATTTGATTTTAAGGTCCATTAAGTTACCTACTTAACATAGACTGAAACAGCTTTTAGAAAGTGCACCGCAGTGTGGGATTTTTAATTAAGCTAGTTTTCAGCTGGTGGGAAGCTTTCAATAAAGCATTCAGCTGAATGATGTAATCATTAAGTATCCTTTGTTATTATGGATTATTAGTAAACCACCTGATGACTGTGTTATGTGTTTAAAACTACTGCAATTGCAATGAAAAACACTCCTTTTTGATAAACAGATCCTTCCTTCCCACTTTATGCTGGTTTTCTATCTTAACTGATATTTTGTCTTGTGATGACTAAGATTTGTACTGTCTGATATATAATGTACTATAAAAGAATCCAGTATGTACTAGATCTTTGGAAATTAATAAGTAACCCTTTTCTTTTCTCCTGCAATGTGTCTTGCTGCAATGTGCCTTGCTGCAATGTGCATTCCATTCCTCCTCCTTCTGTCTTTACTGTTTATCTGCCAGTGCTTGGGTACAGAGATAAATGTTTCACTCATTCCAATTCCAAATCAGCAACTAAGGGAAGAGTCCATCAAGGTACTGTACTCTGTGTCCTGGAAGCACATTCTTATTTACTGTGTCCGTAACCACTGCTATATTTTAATATATGCTAAAGCAATACTGCCACAAAGCCTTAACTCTAAAAGCATTAACAAACTTCGAGGATTTTTAGGCTTATCAGATTTTTGCATTATGGTTTTGTTATATTTTGGGTTTTTTGGTTTCTTTTGGACATTGAATGCAGGATGAAAAGACAGTTAATAGCCACACACTTCAGTATATTATGCCTTAATAATATTATGATTTCATACAAAGGAACACACACAATTTTTAAGTTCTTTCAAAAGAATATTTTTCTGTGCCAAAACAAAAAACAGCAGCAAAAAAGCATTTAATTCTGCTTAAGTAGAACACAACAAATATCACTACCCAGTCAATGAACTTCCTTTCCAAAATTATTGGTATCATTCCTGACCAGGGAAAAATTGATTATGCCGGATTAGAAACTTATGATAATACAATGAAAATGAAATGAAAGACTAAATCAAATGAATGCTAGATGATATTAACAAAAAACGGCATACTAGGCAAAGTTAGAAAACAGTTATCCATCAGTGGTACATATGTTCATCTGCATGTGTTTGTAGCTAGTTTTGTTTCTTTTTGTTGTGCTACAGGCATTGGTAGAATGTTAGAAATGTATGCATCATCTTGAGGGAGCAGTTGTCTGCTGGAACTAACATTTTTTCAAACCAAATGAACAGGACAGAATGCTTGCTGTGAATTCTGTTAGTGTGATAAAATCTTCATTCTGTTGATTGTTTTAGTCCAGTGGAACAAAACTTTGCAGGAAACACACTACTATATGAGGTTTTTTATAAAACTGGATGTCCCTGAGATTGAAACGGTTTAGAACTATTAACCAATTCTTAAGTTTCTAACCAGTCATCCTTAGTTACTCCTATTCATTTGATCACATCTGATACTAGGAGCCAGTCAGGCAGACTAAACTGTACAGGATTACTGTGTAGAGTTATTCTTAAAATGTAGTACCTTTCACAGATATCACATTGGACATGCAAAAGCAGTCATACAAAATCCAGAAAATACCTACTAATCTCTTCTTCTGAGGCTAAGTAGGCTTTGACAGTGTGGTTTGTTACTACTTCATCTGAAGTTGAAATCACAGAACTTATGGAAGCATAATGAGATCAGAGTGCGTCTGTGTTGTAGGAATTCCCTCCTCTGGAAATAATCATGTAGCTGCATCAGCAACAATATGCAAACTAACATGTTGAGAGGCTGAGCTTGTTAGGTTAACATAATGCCATTTAAATACAGCTGTGCTGCTTTCAGATGCAAACCTGTGGTTCCATGTCCCACTCCGCTGTTCCTTATGTGTATTCAAGATCATGCTGTTACTAGCTGTGACATTTCTATACCATGCCCTGCTGCCAGAGTAACAGTGATCTTAGTGCCAGAATAAAACTGTAAAACTGTGATCTTCTAGGTAGGCATCCTTCTCTCTGCTCTGACAACTGTACTGTAATCACATCTGCTAGAATATAGTTGTGAATAATGTGATTTTAAAAAGGTACTTCCTTACATTCACTTCTATTTTTAATGAACCATTAGACATGGTAAAATGAAAAAGGAAAACCATGGCATTCTACATTTTAATCACTGTAGCTGAAGAGCAGATATGGAATACTTTATCCTGAAATGTAGTATTCGAATTGATCATTGTATATTTGTTTTCCATTAATAATAGGTTACTGAGCTTGTTATTAGATTGTGTAGGGTGAAGGAAACACATGTATTCTAGAAAGAAGGGTACTTTAAGTGACAGTATCTCCATTTTTGAGGGACGTGATTACGTAATATTCTTAATGGTTGGACATCCAAAATAATATTCCTTTGACAAGGAAATAGGAGAATTTTTTGTCTGTGCTTCTGAAAAGCACCCAGCAATTTCATTTTCATTTAATTAATTTCTTGCTGACTGTGATTTGTGTTATCACTTACCAATTCCTCTACAGTAGAAAGCATTGTTTGATTAGAATCTTAGATTGAATGACAGTACAGGAGGATGATTTTGGTATGATTTCTTTCAAGTGCATGTCGTTCATTGTGTCCTATGAGGAATATGAGTGACATATTTAAACACTGTACTTTCTAAATTATGTTGTGGCATATGCATTCATAATTAGCATCTCTATTGCCTTACACAAATTGTTTCTAAAATATTTTTGTTTTAATGAAGGTGTATGGGCCAGTCTTCGTTCAAGCAACCGATTTATCAACTCTCAGACTCCATTCATTGATGTTGGTGCAAGACTTGCAGGGAAAGATAATGCCACTTCCTACAGTAGCACTTTTTTGCAAAGTCAGCTTTTGAGACGTCAAGCGGCCCTGTACATATTTGGAGAAAAATCTCAGTTACGGGTAATGGCAGTTTTATTTTTGTTTACAAAGTTTTCATTTGGCTTGATTTTGATAACCCTAACATATTTTAACAAACAACAAAAAGTATTCTAGATAAGAGGGATGAATAACACTCCTTAAGGTAAACTTTCCTGGGTATTTTAGGTAGTGTTCTCTACACGGACATGTTTTCCTTTTAGTTCCATTTTGCTCTCATCCATGTTGCTATACAGAGAGTAACAATTAATGCCATAAAGCATGGTAGGAGTTAGAAATCATACTTGCAGTTATATAATACAGCAAAGTTAATGTAAATAAAAACTTACTGTATTTTTTTAAAGAGCTGTAAAACATGTACGTACTCATATAAGTTCTGTGGCTAGAGTCCTGCTTGTCACTTTTCACGAAGTGCTGATGTAGATATGAAGGTGTGTAATATAATGAGGGGCGTGGAATGGCTTTCCTACAGGATAAAGTGTTTTCAAACTGGAAAAGACATAACTAGGAAGGAAGTGTTTTGCAAGGCAACAAAATATCCAGCAACACCTTCCTATCTGAAAATCATTTTGTCTTCACTGTTTCAACATTATTGGCTTAGCAAGAAGAAAAGGCAGCAGACTTTAGCTCTGTTAAGTGTAGCTGCTGAGATAAGAACCCTGGCAGCTACTCCCTTCAGAGGCTCTTCAGAATTATTCCAGGAGAGTTGCAGTTCTCTATGTATATGATCCTGCTTTCAGAGCCACAGTTAAATGCACTTAAATGCATACTGTCATTCAGCTACTCCTCTGATTTTCAGCTGAGTGATCTCACTGTGATGTCTAGTTTGGGAAACAAAACCCAGACTTATTTATAGTTTTTCCTCATGTATTGGAATATATTATGAAGCAAATAGAATTTTATTAGTGAGGAAAAGCAGTCAGTCAGGAAAGCATTGTTACTGTGGGTAGCGCTTAAACTTGCATGAAACCAAACCAATATGAGTAAGACTAACTCACAAGTCTGCCCATCTGGATTTGCTTATATGAAGAAGTCCACAATATCTACAGTTCTGTATATCTTTTTGAACTTTTTTATAAATTCTAATATTTTGGATGCAGTTGTTTAAGAAACAGGAAACAGATGTCCTCTATTTGAAGTCTTTACATCTTCTCAGAAAATATTTACAGATTTTGTTTTAATCTCTACGTTTAGAAATTGAAAACAACTTGTTTTTTTCCAAGTACAAACATAGACAACATATAATGCATTTTGTGAAATATATAGTATACAAAAGCAGTAATTGCTATGTAAGGGTATCAGTATTCAGTTCTTTCTGAATTTACATTATTTCTGGAGATGGAAGAATCATGCTGTATCAGAACAATAAATTAAAATGCTAAAATTTTCTACAGACTTTCTAATTTTCTTCTGTACTTTGAAATGTTTTTATATCTTAGTTTACTCTCAATTATATTTCATATGTATAAAAGCATATCACTTTGTATCGCTTTTAATTCATCTGCTAGAATTGATTTGTAAATTCATTTTCCTTTTTTTCTTCCATCAGACAGCACATAAAATGGTCCTTTTTTATTAGCTATTTTATTCATATTTAATTTGAGATTCAATGACTTTATAATATAATTCACATAACAGTAATTTACAGAGATATCCTATTAAGTACATAAATGAAGCATTCTAAGTTTGTATGATGCAGCATAATAATATAAGAGACAAAACAGAAATTTCCAGAGTAAGTGTAATTCACCATTATTAGAATAAATTGCTCTTACTAAGAAAGCAGTTTATTTTCCAACAGAAGATTTCTGTTTTATTGGATTGGCATTTGCATCTGGTTTCCAAGAGAATGTTCTTCCTGAAATTTTCAGTCAGGTCTCCTCATATCAATTTTTCATCATAGTATGATATCTTTTTTAACTATAAGCCTCAGAGGGTTCTGGCAAAGCAGTGCTTCCATGAAGTAGAGTGAAACATGAGAAATTCAGCTAGGAAAACCACACATAAATCGTGGAAAGTGCATCAGGTATTCCCTGAATGCTATTCTGAGCTGAAATAGGTGCTTTAAATCAACAAATGCCTCACTTTGCAGTGACTGCTTAAATGAATCATGTTATTTGCAGCTATGAAGGTTCTTTTTTGGTTTTAAAGTTACATTTTTTTATGTGTTACTGAACTACTAGAATTTGTCCTGCTGAACTACTAGAATTTGAATTAGGACTTGAAGTATTTAACAACAAAGTTGGCAAGACTTGGAGATTTGACAAGACTTGTGCTGGCAAGTATACTTCTAAATTGTATCTGCTGTTGTCCTTCTCACACAGGGCTTCAAACTTGATTTTGCTTTGAATTGTGAATTTGTTCCTGTTGAATTCAGTGATATCCGACAGACAAAGGCAAGCTTTAAAAAGCTGTTGAGAGCTTGTGTTCCCAGCACTATTCCTACAGATTCTGAGGCAACATTCCTGAAAGCTCTTGGGGAGTCAGAATGGTTCCCACAGGTAATTTATATGACAGGTATTTCTACATGCAGTACTGCTTGCACCAAATAAATTTAAGACTCTCCTGACAGAGAACTGTTGTATTTTAAAGAGCTGTTCTTTGCCCTCTGTAATTACTTTGCATGCTATCAATTCTGTCATTATATAGGTGTTAATTTTAATGCTACCATAACATTTACAGGTGTGGGAGGTAATTTTTATAGCATTGTTTACATAGACTGTCTCTCTATATACACAAGTAGAGATAGTCATTTTTAATGCATGTATCAATTTATGGTCTCGGTTTTAACAGTTTTTTTCTTATTCTATATATTACAAAAATTAGAAAAAAAATGACAGACAATAAATGCACCTTTGATTTTAAAGTTGATATTCTACCCTTAATATAAGTTCCTACCTTGAATTACCACATGTTTTGCTGCATAAATACTCCTCAACAGCAAATAATCCTTGAAAACAGAATAGGCAGAATACATGCAGGTAATTTAGTGATTTCAATAATTATCATAAAATGTACTTTTGGCTGGAACATGCTACACTGCAAGGAATGGCTTAACTCCTTGCATTTAAGATATGGTCTTTCCTTAGGGAACGTGGGAGCTGACCATTGAAATGTCTGACCACTGCTTTGTCAATGAAAGGGAGAAGTCTGGAGGCATTAAGGTCTTGATGGCCCCACCATGTGAACATTTCCAGTCGCAGGGCAATTGAGCAAGCTAATAGGTGCAGATAAAAGAAATGAATATCATCATGATGAAATAGACATGTCTCTATAGCAGCACAGAAATTAAGAGGATGTTATCACACTGGAGTTAATCTCAAGCATATTTGAGAGGAAAAGTAACAGTGTAACTCTTTGCTCAAGACCAGATCATAGTACTAACTGTGATTCATTACCACGACATTTCTGTGGTGAAAATTCCAGGGTAGGTGACTTATGCAATAAACTTGATTTATGACTGAGTTTTCACATTTTCTGCTAATCCTGTGAAAGGACATAGATCTGTCATCTGGAAACTTCTTTTTATTGTATTGATCTTTCCTCTCTAGGTAACAGGAGTTGTGCCATATTGGTTTTAACACTGTGTAGGCTAAATAGTTCTTCATGAGGATTTGCGTATGGAAGAAATTCAAAGTATATTCTGAGTACTACTAATAAAAAATAGTGTTCTTCCCTTTCTTTATATTGAATCTATGTAACCAGATTGCATACCAATTTCCTTCCTGAAGGACAGCAAAAAAATAGTCTTTCTTCTAGTCTCTTGCGTACAGAAGCATAGAACAATAAATGAACTTTCTGATTTTCAGTGCATTGTGCTTTTTCAGTCTCTTCCTATTAAAAATTGCAAGAGAATAGCTCACTTTTAGTTTCTAGTAATGACTGTGTGAATGTTCAGAGTTGTTAAATGTCTTTTGTTAAGTTTTCATGGTAATGTTCATAGAATTGGGGTGTTGTTTTTTTAACAAAGTAAAAATCCATCCTGTTTCTGGTGTTTCTTCTTGATCTTTTTTCTTATTTTCTCTAATTTAATACTGTCCTCCCTGAGTTTCATTCACGTGAACTTACTTTTTTCCGTGCATAAATGGTCTTAGATGTCTCTTGCCATTTTTGCTTTCTCCCTTTCCTTGGGCTTTCATATTTTCTGTGTTGCTATTGGATTGTATTCAGTGCACTGGAAAGAGCAGTTTGATTCTACTATAAAAAAGGAAAAAAAAAAAAATACTGCTTACATATAGGATATTATGTTACTTACCAAGAATGCATTCGAAGTATGAAAGATATGATAGAAACACTGTAGGTTCTCATTTTAATAGTAATGATGTGAACGCTTCTCTGTAAGGTAAAAACGTTCAAATTCACTTAATTATTTCAATTTGCTTATAACCAATATGTTTCAAATCTCACTCAAGTATATAACCTTTCCCAGAGAAATTACTAACTCATCTGCTCATAGAATTTTAATATCACTACATAGCAGTTATCAGAATGCAAATAATGAACCTGTCCTCTTTTCACACATTTTAGCCAGTCTGCCCAAAAACAGAATGTGAGAAAAAAGGTTTAATCTATCTAAAACTGTTTTCAGATAATAGAATGTTCTTGCTTTTCTTTTTTCATTAATTTCCAACTTCCATGATACTGAACATTAGAAGTATTTTCTTCTAAGTATCTTACATTTGTTCTCCCATCAAAGTATTGAGTGACTTTATGTGTCTGTAACTTTTCACAGGAAAAGACTGTAGTGTTAATCCCAGGGTGGAATTTCTCTACCATAAATCTATCAACTGAGTTGTTGCCATATTCCTTTTTATGACAACTAATTTATTGCAGTGCTCATTGGTTGTAATAGTTCCTATCTCAAATATTTGCATGGCTTTGTATAGTTCTGAGATTGTTTTTTAATTTTCTGATCTGTTTTATCAATAATTTATCTATACTACATATGTAGATTTCATAATACAAGTTTAATATTAAATGTGAAGTGATTGCATTTATTGATAACATCTAGACATTTCTCTTATTATTTAATTTGTCATATTCTGTAGCTTCACAGGATAATGCAGTTGGGTGTGATCATCTCAGAGCTCCTAGAAAATGGTTCTTCTGTTATGGTCTGTTTGGAAGATGGCTGGGATATTACTGCACAAGTAAGCTGTTATTAAAACTTGAAATAATTAAATAGTAAGAAAAACACTAGGCAAGACTTTTTTACATGCGAGACTGATAATTTGATGTAAGATTAATAAAACTCTGTTGTGGCAGCAGAGACTGGAATATATGAATTCTTGTGTTTGCAGTTTACTTCACAAAAGAGCTCATTAAAATGTTCCAAAGGCCCTGTTGGACTTAGAATCCTAAGGTTTATCTACAAGATCTGAGTTTCAGATCATATGTAAGAATGAAAGCTGAAAGCTGTCACTACAGATTATTTGCCTTTTTAAGCACAGTACACTTGAACACAGAAGGGAAGGAGAGGAATTCCCTCTTTGCTTTCCAGAAATGGAGCGCACACAGAGAGAAAACTAACTGTGTGAAAGTGACAGTAATACACCTATTGCAAGGACAAATTACTGGAGCAGATAACTTTGTGAAACATGCTATAAATTACACAATTGATGCCTCACTTAATGTGCACTGTGTTCATGTAATTTCTTCATAATCCAGAAGATAAACATAGATGACAATAATTCTAGTAAATAAAAACACTGTGTACAGCCAACATCCTGATCTTTGGTAAACAAAATCATAAGAGAATGTAGTAATCTTGGAATCATTGTCAAACAGTGAGGAATAGAGAAAGGCACATATATAGCTGAAGGTGGGAGATGTCTGTGCTGTGTTTTAACATCTTCAGAGATGCTGACTACAAGAACAGGCTGAAGTTGTCTGGCGAGGAGCATAGCATGGCAATGCTACAAAAGCTGTAGAGTCATTCTTAGGATCAGTTCTTTAATGCTTTCTTTGCTGAAGTAGCCAGTACTATTTTATAAATAGTATTTTGTTAATTATTATTTTCTATTGTTTATTTTATTAATAAAAGTGGTTTTATTTCAAATGTAATTCAGAATTGTTAAGCATTTTCATGACTTCTGAATTCTCTAGTTGTACAGGATTGACTTTTATGATTAGCATTAAAACCCAATTTAATTAAGGCTCTTTCATGTGAGATCGTATTTGTATCGTGTTATAAAAATACGTAGCCTACCTGCTAAAGCACTTTAGTTGAATTTATATGAAGGCTTTTGTTCCATTGAACTAGAAGCATATGATGGAAGATTTATGTAAGTTACATAAAGTGGTTTCATTTTAATTTATGTCATTCTTAACATAATATGTCCTGTCTTGTCATCTAGGTAGTATCTCTGGTACAGTTACTCAGCGATCCCTTCTATAGAACACTTGAAGGCTTCCGAATGCTGGTGGAAAAGGAATGGCTCTCTTTTGGTCATAAATTCAGTCAGCGAAGTAATTTGACTCTAAATTGTCAGGGTAGTGGATTTGCACCTATTTTCTTACAGTTCTTAGACTGTGTGCATCAGGTAAGTTCATCTATATCTATGTATAGATGCTGTTATTTCATAAGTCATAGATAATGCTTTGAGGGAAGATTAGTAACCTTATTCTCTAAGTTTTAATAAAGTGACTATGTTTCACATGAAGAAAAGCTAGAAAATGAGCATCCATACAAAGCAGACCCTGTAAGGGAATAGTTGGCCTTAATGGATGTTTTAGAGTGATTTATGCAGAGATTTCAATTTGAAGTTTTTTAAGCTTAAGATTGGCTTCTGGCAGTTTGGAATATTTCAGATAGGAAGAAGAGATCAACAGATTGTTCATACAGTAGGTAGAAGGCTTTTTATTCCTTGTGCTTGACTATGCCCTCTGGAGACACCTTGTACTCAGACAGTTCTGGAGACAAAAATACGTTTAGCCCTTCTGTAGTGGTCTGTCTCAAACTCTTACATAGAGAATTTATTGATTGAAATTCTATTCTTTCTATTCAATGCATTCCAAAGTCTGTTGCTGTTACTTTTAGATAAGCAGACATTGCTAGCAGCAGCAAAAATTCAGTGGAAGGACATTTATGCACTGCTTATACTTTGGTGAATAATCTGTACTACTGAGGGTAATTCAACCTTTATTTTTGATATTGTAACATATTTAGTAGAATAATCAACTCCATCTAAAAATTGGGTTGTCTTTTGCTAACTCCATTTGAGCTCCATTCCCCATCCTCATTTGTAGATTATTGCAAACTATGAGGACCAAACTATGCCTGTAGCAATAAATGATGATTTCTTGAGGTAGGATTCTTAATAGATAATTGCTGTAGGCCTATTCCCATAATAAATTAGTTTTTGAGCTATACATCATTGGACCCCAACCTAGTACCTTTCTTCTAAAAAGAAGGCTTCCTGTGGGGCAACCAACAAGAGCAACCACTGGAAGTATATCAACAGCCTGACCCACGTTGTACTCCCAGTAAGAGCTAGAAGGACAAAGTGACCATTACTACATAAATAATAACAGGGCACTTTTCCCATTGCCAGTTGATTTGTCCAAGATACTTGATCTGCTTCCAGGATCACTTCAACAACAGTACTGCAGTCCATAAGTCCTCTTGTTGATTTTTCAGATCTTGGTCTTATGTACAAAGAATGTTAAGGGACAACAGTGGAGTTTTGGAAGCATTTTGGATGCAAGACAGGATCTTTTTCCAGGAAGTTATTTGTAGACTTGATCATCAAGTACAAATTATTACTCAGAAACTCTACTCTTAGGCACACATTGCCAAATGTACAGGATGGTTTTAATGGAAAACAAGTGGTAGCATGGAAAGAAAATTTTGTGGTTCTTGGATTTCTGCTTTTCTCATGCTGGTGAAGTTCTCTGCTCAAGAGTTTGTACCTAAGTAATGCAGATTTCCCCTTCTGTTGTTGAAAGAACAAACAGGTTTCTAGGAGTCCAGTAGCAGTACCCAAAAAAGATACAACTCTAGAAAGCTTGGAAACGATCACCTAAGTTGTTCTTATTTTTATATATTCTGCATGTGTGCAAGAAGATGAACACCATCAGTTGCATGGTACAGCAGATTAACCATTTCTTACTCATCTCTGCTTAATTCTAAAGTCTGTCCTCTTCTTCATCTCTAAACAGTAAATATAATGCTTTGCAGATTCTCTGCGTATGGAAACACAAGATAGGAGCTTGTATAGCTCCTCTTGTAGGTATCTTTCTTTTTCCACTTCTCATTTTTCTCATTGAAAAAGCTTGGCTCCTGGTTATTATTAGCCTGCATGTAAATTTACAGATGACTCTGCCTCATAGAAGAAGACTGTTAAGGCACCAACCTTCTATCTAGGAACAGATGTTCATAGTGAATACATACTTGGAGTACGCCTCGAAAGAGAAGTCAGCAAGTAGACTTAGTCGATTGCCAAAAGCAAAGTCCACTAATTAAAAAACATGCTAAGCTACAAAAAAAAAATCTTAAATATGAAGGAATGGTTATGAATGAGTTTATAAGAAAATGAGTAAAGAATTACTGATGAATATATTGCAGAAAAGGATCGTTTTTTATGTATTGCGACACTGAACATTTTCTCCCATCCATTTCACATTGAAAGTGAATAAGTCATATCCTTGTAATTTGGGTCTGTTCTAGCGTAAGAAAACCTTACAGATATTTGTCATGTCTCCTTTCTTATCAATCTGTTTCCCAGTGGCCATGGTCCTCAGGTTAATTTTTATTCAAAATGGAGAGATTAATGAGCATCAGTACTGGCATTTTTCATTCAAACAAGTTAATCCACCTCCACTTGTGACATAAAGTATCCTTTGGAGTAACTTAAGGTTGTTTCTCATTTGTTGAAGTAAAACATCAACAACAGCAAATTCTTAGTTGCAGCGGCTACGGCAGGACAGAATAGCTGCCCTGTTGTAGCTATTGAAATCCTGAGGCCTGCCTGTTGAGTGGTTCATTCGGTTCTTTGAAAATCACTTGTCTGATGCTGTATTCTCACTGTTGTCAGATATCTTTTGTTTTTACTGAGCTGACTGGATTGCATTCTCTCTTGTTAGAATGGAGTGAATTGGCATTTGATTTGAAACAGTAATGTAATTTTGAAGAGATTCCCTCAAGCATTTCCCCTTGCCATTTTGATAATTTTTAGAAAATATGGACTAGATTCCTGGAGGAATTTACCTAGAAGTTCTGCTTCAGGTGTATGCTAATTGCTCAACAGTTCTTAAAGGATCTAAAGCCATGATTCATCACTTCATTTAAAACTATGTGGTAATCAGCTGGATTTGAAGGGGGAAAAAAGAGGTGTATAGTGTGGCTGCAGGAACCTCAGCACCAGCTGTGAACTATTTGCTGTTGTAGACATAGCCTACATCATTTTAAACATTCTTTTTCTAACCATGGAGACACTTTGCTTCGGTCTTACTGTAATAAATCTTAGGAAGCTGACATAAAGAACAACAAGAAACTTAGCCACACACACCTTTAGAGTGGATTTTTTCCTCAAGTCCAGAGATCACACAAACTTTGGAAACAAGTGGGTTATACAGAACAACGATGAAAGTTAGCATTTAAAGGATGTTTTTAATTGATGAAAGAATAAGATGTTCCATGTTTTCTTCGTGGCAAAATTCCTGTTAGATCTGAAACAGTCAGAAGTTCGTAGAATAATGGATTGTAATCTTCCTGATGCTAGAATTTACAATGAGAAGTGGGATAAATCCCTGCTGTTAACAGCTGATAGGTATGATTCTGCTTTAAGCTGCAAGCTACCTAAATTATTCGCAGTCTATATGTGAACCTCTTAAGGAAATTTGGCCTCTGTCATGAGACCTTCCAACAGAAGTGCTGGTGAATCATCTCTAATCTTTGTAATTTCTTGGGGGGCAAGTTGGGTAGAGGAGCAATTTCATACTTTCCATTGTACTCTAAACATTATTTTTTTGTTTTCCTAAGACTAGTCCTGAAATTAGAAATATATTATGTTCCTTTTAGAAAATGTTTACATCATCCAGGATTGTTTTCAATTTGATTTGGTTCTCCTGCATGATAGAGGAATATTGCCATTATAATTCATCTCAGATAGCAGATTTGGTAGTATCTGAATCATCATTAAGAGGCAGTATAAAGTATACACGTTATTAGCAGGTGCATTTTACATAATGATCAGTATCTTCTGGTTTTTTTTGGTATTAAACTGTGCCCACATGCCCAGGCTGCAGCTACGTCAGCAGAAAGGTTACTTAATATAGGCCATCTGGAGCTATTAATTACCTCCTCTCTGCTGGAGATACTACACTTCCAGTCTGTCAGCTAAGGGGTTTGTGTGGATCTGCCTTTTCTACCAAAATGGTAGAAAAGAAATGGGTAGAAATAACTGTAAATATCTTATTTTGATGGATGTGGGTCCAGAAGCAGTTCAGCCAATCAATCTGAAGGGGTCAGTATCTTCTTATGAGGAACGATTGGGCTGTGTAGGGTTTGTAGTCTTCATCCAAGAAAGGACATAGGAACACAGCTTTACTTGTGTAACCAATGTATTATTCTTGGTTGCACCGAAAGTAAAGCCTCCAATTTATTTTCATGGAAACTACTGCAGATACAAAAAGCACAATAACACTGTTTGATTGAGCAAATACTGAGCTATAAAGCACTATTTGTCAACATAGTCTCCACCATTTACCAGTTGGTGTGGATGGGCTGATTGAGGCGCTCTTCATTTCAGCTGTTGGTGGCCATCCAGAACATGGCTTGTCTTTCATGTCACTGTCAGCACAGCTGAAATACATCAATACATCCCCCCCCCCACCTCACTGTGCACGCGCCCACTCTTTGATCTCCATAAATGTTTCAGCACGCGTTGACAAACATCAGTGCAGTGCACTGGTGAGATGTTTTCTGCATGAAGGAATTCAATTCCACACCTTTGCTTCCAGTGCACTCCCATGTCAGGTGCCATTTTGTCAGACTGCCCCTCTGCTACTGTCTGTCACACAGCAACAAAACGTAACAGAATATTGGTGGGAAAGTTAGACCTCTACTTTTGTATTACCAACATCTGCTTCTGACATTGTGGGCCAACATAATAAAATAGGAGGCATTACTTTCGGAGCAGCCCTTGTAGTCTCGACATAATAGGTAATAAAAAAGTCTCTGTCCAGCCAGTATGCATTAAATATCATTTGTTAAACTAACAATGCAGAGAAAACAAATGAAGCAGTGATTCCTAAATTAGAACTGCATCATCTTGTAAGAAGTCGTTGTTTATGCCAATATTCTCCAGGTGTCAGCTGAATTATTAATGCAAAATCATTCTTTCACAATAGCAGCATCTGGTAGATACTCGCTGCTTCTAGAAGACTGAATTTGAAAGTGATGTCAGTGCAGAAAGTTTTGCTTGTTTTTCCTGTATGTCTATTTGATAATTTATTGCATATAAATAATACTGAGTGATTTTCTAGAACTGACTTAAATAAAACTTAAAGGAGTTTTATTACAGCCCTCCATGTAAGAAGAGTTGAGTGTGCTACTCCAGAGGCAGATGTACTCAATTATTCCAGTGTTTGCAGCGAGAAGCCTCTTAGTGATGACATGCCCAAAGCATTTTGGAATACTGTATTCTTATTTAAATTAAGTAAATATTGACGGATGATGGAGTGAGAAAAACAAAATGTACTGGAAAAATAAGAAAGGCTAAAAGAAGTGTAAAATTCCTAAAAACATTTAGGATAATTGTAAGTTATTTGAGAACACTGTGATTTGAAAAAGGAATTCTGAAATGCTGGCTTTCGTTCATTAGAAACTACTAGAAACTGTAAGTTTTCTTGGGTTTTAAATGTTTGTATATTATGGAAATTAAGCATTTTAATAAGCAGTTGTAATTTTTAAAGATACCAGGTCTCTGTAGTCTTATTTAAGAAGACCTATGTAGGTGATATGTTGAAACTCTAAATACAAAAAATGCTTTTAGCTTGCAGGCAAGTTTTGAGTCTCTGAAGTCAATGAATTAACCAAATTCAGACCCAAGAGTTACCAAAGAGAAAAAAACTGTAGAAACTCAGCCTAAATGGTTACATTGCTTACAGTAATTAATAGTCTCTATTTTATGTTTCTTTTTAATTGCTTAAGTTGATCCATTTTTTTTTTTCCAATGTCACGTTTTTATTGTATCATTTGTGATATTAGAGCTGTATTTTATCAGAACTTTTTTCCCTGATAGCTCAGCCATGTTTTAAATTCCCACGTACTGCAGCACATCCAAACAAATCATTGGTAGTTGTATCTTTTCCATCTCCAAGCATGCTGAAATCTGCCATCTACAATAGAAAACAAGCAGAAACACTATGTTATTCACCTTAAATAAAAGCTTTAGATGATAGTTGTTTTTTAAGGTAAATCTTATTACTGTAACTTCTAGTTACTTGCAGTTTCAGAAATCTCAGAATTTGGATCACTTGCAATATCTAAATATGTAACAGGACTTCAAAACCTGTTTCTTGTTCTAACTCTTGACATTTACTAAAATAATTACTGGACCACAAGTAGGAGTTTGGACCATGTCAGATAACAGATTATCAAAATAATTCGTTTATCAAAAAAACTTCCTGTCTTGCTATATTCCAAATAATACTTTTCCTAAACAAAGTGGGAACTATAAACTGTTTGTATATGCAGGTATATGCATTGGAATACACAGAGACCATTCTGGGATCTCAATTCAAAAGTGCATTAAGTCATTTTTTAACAGAATCAGGATGCTCTGGTTATATTTAAATCTATTGTATGCCAGAAAAATTACTTTCTTCTTTATAAAGGGAACTAAAAAGTTACACTGTCTTTGTAATTGACCTTGAATTTATTATAGAAAAAATATTTTACTTAGCATTATTCTTACAAAACAGTGCAGGAGTACAGTCATTTTTATCTGGGAAAACACAGGGGTAAAGTAAGAGTGAGTAGATTAAACTGAGACATCTTATAATATCTTAGCATTTTAAATACCTCACCACAAGCTAATATCGACATATAACAAGAAATCCTCTGACTGTACTGCTGTATATGTATTTAAAGGGTTTTTCAAGGGATTGCCCTGTCACTGTTGTAAATTAGTAATTAATCTTTCCTGCTGAATGCATATTTGGTTGTGGGTTTGGTTGTTGTGCTGTTTTTTTTTATTATTTGTTTGCCAAATAGCACATGTGAGATGTTAAATATCAAGTTGCTTCAAATAACCTAGCTCTAGTTTCTTTAATACTAAATAAACAAGTCTCTTTCTTTAGGACCTAGTTGAATAGAGATTAAAGGTACAATGGAAAATAGGAGTGCTGGGAATAAAAAAAGGCAAGATGTGGGAAAAGTGCCAAAATAAAGGTATTTTACAAGCTTGAGGTGGAACTACACAAATCACATATTTGAAAAGTTAAATTCAATCAGCAGTTTCTTTCTGATTGCTAAAGCTGTCTCCATTGTAATTGAGGCTTTTCAGTTTACTATCATCCTTAATTCTGAAAATAAATATTACATTGACTTAAAGAGTAAAATTTACATTTAAACACCTGTAGGCTTTGAAAGTAATATCTCATGAAAATAAAATTTAAATTTAAATTTTATATGGGCATCAAGTACTTATTAATAATCAATGAAACAAATTTGGGCATGAATATTAAAGTAAATGCCTAAAACTACAAACCAGGCTCTTTCTGATGATGTTCAAGATGAAGAAATTGTAAGAGCCAGCTCTTCCCCGTTGCTGTACTCTGATAATCTTGTGTTGTTTTCTTAAACATCTGACTCTTGTTGGAGACATTCACTGAATTAGATCCCAGGCCTAACTGGGGATAACAAATGAAAATATTAAGTTGTTCTCTATTAAACATGTGCATATGAATAATAGCAAAGCACCTCAATATCTTGTTTTGTTTTGTTTTTCACACTTTAACATGTTGGTTCGTATTTTGAGAGCAAAGGAATATGTGTTGACCAGTGGGTATTTCAGAAATGAGCTGTTCAAGTAATGACAGAATATCGTTTTCCAGAGTTACTTATGTACATGTTGTCTTGTTTGGATCCTGAGCAATACATAGAACTCTACTGCAAAACCTGCCAATTAAAATTTGATTTGCAGGAAATGATACATCTTGCAGTAGCGTCTTTGCATATGAATTTGCATGGTGTCTTATGAGTTAATGTGAAATGATATCCAGTTTGATGACTTCGAAGAATCCAGCATTTTGTACAGAGTACAACATTCACTCTATTAAAAAAAAAAATTGCATCATAGACAATGATTGAATTTAAATTAATTAAATATTTAGACAAATTAGGAGGATTTGTGCGCAGTTCTTACGAATGCATTTGTTGTCAGATTTTCCAAAATAATTATTTTCCTGTCTTATTGCCTCAAAATCCTTTTTTTCCCTCTGTTTATTTTTAGATTCATAACCAATATCCAACAGAGTTTGAGTTCAATCAGTATTATCTGAAGTTCCTAGCTTTTCATCACATATCAAATCGATTTAAAACATTCCTTCTGGATTCAGACTATGAAAGACTAGAACATGGTATGTGTAATGTTTTTTTATCGCATATTTTTTCTGGTTTTGTCCCCATTTTTCTGTCCAGTATTTGATCTACATTATTTGCCTTGTTTGAGACGATCTAGTAATTGCATGGTAATACTCTAGTCAATTTCAGTTCAGGAATACGAGCTAAAATGTAGGTGACAAATACACTGAATTTTCTGAATGAATGATATGCCTGAGATATACCACTGGTGGGACTTAAGAGGAAGTGAAAAAAAAGTGTCATGCCTCAGGTTTTGTTTCACCTTCTTGGTTTGTTTTCTTTTTCTTCGTCTTTGTCTTTTCCTTTTTTTCTTTTTCTTTTTTTTAGCAATTCATTGACTTACTTCAGTTTGCCCTATTAAGTACTTGTTTTGACAGAAACAAAGTCCTTAAGTCCTTCAGAGAGCACATGACATTTCAGGAAAGGGAAGCTTTTCCATCTACTGTTTTCTCTTGAACTCTCTTTAATGTTTCTCTTTTCTTACCATTTTTTTACCCCCTACATCTGACATGTGCAAAAGTTCATTTGCTCCCTACCAAGACCTTATCTGCCCTGACAGCTCACATAAGGCTTTACAACCACAGCCAAGGCTGTTCCTGGAGCTTGTTCATCAAACAAAATACTTACATGCTCTGAATTTCACTGCTTCATTGGGTGTTTCTGATGGCATATGGTCAATTTTAATGCTTTTCTTTAAAACTGTACTAACTGTGGAACATATTGAACTTCAGAAGCCATTTTATTTCAACAAGAAAAAAATATTTTCATTATTTACCTTGCTTTGAACGAAGGATTGGAGTAAATTTCTTTCTGTCCTTCCAACCTGTATTTTTATATGGTTCTACAGCATGTCATTTTTTTTTTTTTTTAAACCACATTTGTTTATTTAGTGTGGTTACATTTCCAAATACCATCTAATGCAATATAAAGTCCTATTTGCAGTGGATTGAAGGGCTGGTAACCTCTCATATTAGGGGACAGAATCAGTTAACACGGCTCGATGATCTGTTGAGCCAGTATAGCTGGAGGCAGAAAGGAACGTTAATAAATATACTCAAGTATTTCAATAAATTTCAGAACAGAATTATAAATATAATGCTATTGAATTTATTTATTTTTTTTAATATAAAAGTCACATTCTCTCAACTTGTGGCAGAGTGGCAGCTACAAAGCACAGCGTTTGTTTCAACAAACTGTCTTTTGCAGCAATTTCACTTTATGGTAGATTTTACTGTAAATTCACTTTGTGAAATTCCTTTTGGCTGTGTTTTAATGTTTGTTACATTTGATCGTAAAGCTATCATTTGCTGCTATTTATTTTCTCTAGGGACACTGTTTGAAGATAAAGGAGATAAACACACCAAAAAAGGAATTTGTATTTGGGATTGTATTGAAAAGATGCACAAGAGGAGCCCTATTTTCTTCAATTACCTCTATGCTCCCACTGAAATAGAGGTATGTGTGTTTTGTTGTTGTGAGGTGGGTCTTTTTGTTCATTTTTTTAAGAAAAAGAAAACCCTCAAACAAACAAAGATCAGATTATTTGCTATTCTGAGTGATTTTCTGAGTACGTTTTGATATCTTAATTTGACTAGCTGGATAAAGCATTTGGTGGACAAAATTGATCCTCCTTGATTGATTGCTGTAATGTCTTAAGGCTTATATTTTCAGTCATCTTAGCTTTGGAAATTTCATGTAAAGGGATGAATTCTGGAACTGTATATATGCATGCCACTGAGGAAAACAAGGTTACTTGTTTAATTTCTATAGTTATATGACTTACTATAAAAACGGTCTTAAAGTCTGCATAGTTATTTAAAAATATTTGTTTATATCCCATAATTCACAGTTATGGGGAAATGAGCTTGAAGTACATTCCAGCCACAATGGAATGTCTAATATGATAGACATCAAGACGTCTTAGGAACTGAAAGAAAAGAGCAATGTTCATACTGTAGTTCGGGGGTAAGACTGGTTTAAGATAGTTCAGCTTCCCCTCCTGCCCCACTGATGTGCTTCTGTCTCCTGCTTTGCCAACGAGCTTCACCCTGACAAATAATTTATCTGCATGCCAGTCCACTGCTGATGACCAGATAATGACAGGGTGTTATGTGCTCCAGTGTGTTGGAAGCCTTGTTGCCACTAATGCTTTTGTTAGTGTTTCTTAGCTTTTTCCTCAAAGATTTTTTTTAACCACATTGTATTTTAGAACACACAGCACCTAGAGCTCAAATAAGTTTTATAAATTTACCTCATTTAAAGTTCTTTTTTTTTTAAATAAAAAAAGAAGGCTATATTCTTTATTTTAATATGATTTCGTAGTCAACAACACAGGCCCCATAGCCCCCCATGAGTACATACTCCTATGCTTCATTAAATCAGTATGGGAGAGAGAGGATGGAGAAACAAGAGAGCGATATTGAATAGATAGGAAGTTCTTCACTTGTCTGTTTCAGAGGAACATACTTTCTCTGTAGAACCATCACTGTGATGAATTTGTAAGTTGATGGCCATCTTATTCATGTATGTTCTATCCATTTTACTGTAAGTGGTAGCCTGACAAGTAAGCAATTAAGATTTGCTGTCAGTGTTTTGGTAGTATCTTTTTTCTTGCTTTTATTACAAACTTTTTTTCCTCATGTGAAATTTTGTAGTAGCAGAGTTTAATGATTGCGGACTGAACATCACTCTTAAGACTTTAAAATTGCCCATTGACCTGGGGTAATAATTCCCTTTAAATAAAATATAGTGTTACCTTATATTTTAAAGGGGAAAAAAAAAAAAAAAAAAAAGTGTGTCTTGAATACGAAGTCATCTGTTTTAAACTACTGTGAAAGCATTATAGTCTCTGGCTTATTTGCTCATGTTATTATGGTTATTGCAAGTGTTTGTCCACCTAAGTTATGGAGCCTTTCTCCTTTCCCTGATAGTAAAAAGTCTTGGATTTTCTGCTGAGGAGAATTTAGGGGTGATTGCTATCAAGTACCTTTTCTATCTTTAACAGGAGTCACAAAGACTGTGAGGTTTGCAACTGTATATTGAATTAGAGTTCTTGAGAAGCACTTTGTTTAGTAGAAGGATAATTCTGAACAATATATCCCCAAAGCTAGTATTAGTTTGACTTTTTGATCTGACCCATATGCCAGAGTCCTGCTGTGAAAATTATCAAACTGCAGTATTACCCAACACAAGAAACCACTAAATTTAGAATAATCTACAAAATATAAGTATTGCATTTTTTCAGACTGAAACACACTTCCTTTCTGTTATTATAATAAAACTTTCTTTCTAATAGGCCCTGAAACCAAATGTAAGTATGTCCAGCCTCAAAAAGTGGGATTACTATGTAGAAGAGATTTTGGCTACAGGTCCTTCTTATGACTGGAATATGGTGGCTGCAAAATGCAGTGCTTTAGAGGAAGCTGACCAAACAGATGGTTCAGTCTCTCAGAAAAAGAGGAAAATAGTGTGGCCATGTTATGATGATGTTAAAAAAATACAACCTGATGCCATCAGCAGCCTTTTAAATGTAAGTACATATGTTAAACAGAAAAAATAAGTTGTTTCAGTTATCACATATCATGTTTACCCTTTATTTATATTATTTCCCATTTTTTATTTTTAGTTATTGCCCTGTATGTTATTGTCCTATGGATAGAATATAAAATTATTATTAAAGCCAGTCAGAGTAGTTGTTTAGTATAACCAACAGATTGCCTTCTGTAAGAAATGCAATAACTGTTCTTTTAATTGATAGAAAAGCTGAATCTATCTTTCTTTCCCTTTTTCTACTCAGTTTAATGTATGTAGTGAAGATCCAAATTCCTGAAAGTTCAGGAAACAGAATCCAATAGTTGTTGGTTTCAGTGAGAGGCAGATTTTATGTATATATATATATATATACATATACATGAGCATCTTGGCCCAAATTTATCAACAAAACTTTCCGTAGTCACTCCTAGTATATTTATTTTTACTAGCACCTAACTCAAATTCTTGAATGCTTCAGAGTATTTCAGTACATTATGTGGATGCTTGATTTGGACAATGATTTTTTTTCCTGTGGGCTCCTCAGGTTTTGTTGTTTCATAATTAGAAAATGAATAAGGGAATAAGGATCCCATTTAGCATGGTAATAATTGTATTTTCTTAGATGTTTGTTGTTTGATTGTAATTGGCTATCAGTCCTAACGTTTACATTATCTTCTGGATTAATAACTCAGGAAGAAATTAAGTGGGCATTCTTCATTTCCTAGAGCTGTTGTTTCAAGCTGTGTGCATATTCAGTTGCATATACCAAATATTTGTGGACTTTAACTTTCATTAGAATTGAGATTGTGAAGCTAATGAAGCAGTTCTTGGAAAGCTGGAATATTCCTGAAATCACTGTAATTAAACAGCTCTTAACAAAGTCTCAGGGTGGGAAGTTTCTAAATGTATATAAATAATTCAGAATAGGCTTGCTTGTGTCAGAGAGCTAGCTTAATTCAGGAACACAACTGCTATCTCCTTTAGTCCATTTCATGCAATCATTATTGATGAAAAATAGGAAAAATGTCCAGTTTTCAAAAATAAAATTCAGCAGTGAAACTCTTCTTGATACTGAAAGCCAGAACTGCTCAAAGCTTATAACTTCACAAATTCAATGAAAGAGAGCTTATCCGTTCCTCAACAGGGGTCATAGCAAGAATTCTTTCACAAAAAAAAGCCCAAGCCAAAACAAAAACAGAGCTTTTGTAACTATATTCAGAACTACATTAGAAGTATAACAACAGTGCAGTGTTCCTCTGCATTTCTTCATGGAGTAAATGCCAAGCTTATCCTAGCCACAACTGTGAGAAACAGCCATATAACGGGGAAATTAGCCATATTATATTCCAAAGATATGTGGGTCAGATTTTATAGAGTTTAAATGTTATTTGTGAATTAGATTATAGTAATAAAAGATAGCAGTGGAGAGGAACATTTGGAAAACTTTGAAGAGGTTGTATAAAGGTTACAAAAATATTCTTCTAAGTTTAAAAAGCGAAGTGAACTTTCTTTTAAAACAAGTTGTTAATTTAGGGCTATTGCTGATGGGGGAGAAAGACCTCTCTTTAATCATAAATCCATTGAGAATGTGTTGGTATCCAAGAAATGTTCGAACTGAGAACATATTCTAGTAATGATAAACTGTTAGGGAAGGTTGGTTTTTCTCTTTCTTTATAATGATAATACCAAATATGTTCATTCTAAAGGTATTTTTTTAATAGAAAACTAGATAATACTCTTCAGGATGTGAATCTGGAACAGAGAAGTTACAGGATGTCTTAGTTCACCTTGTTACAATGCAGTGTTTTTCAATGAGGAGCAAAAGGTGTGATGTTTTTAGTGGTAAACATTCTAATGTGTTTTGTGTACTTGGCACCTTTAAGGAGATGTGTGTGATAGCTCTGTATTTTCCATAAGTCTTCATGTTTACAAGTTTTAGGAAGTTAAGCAATCTACTACACATTTCATTCATTTAATCCTCATTGAATGACAATAATGTGCACTTCAAAATAGAGATTTTTGTGTAAAGCTTCCCAATTCACTTCTACCACACCAGCCAAAAATACGAGCTGGTTTCTTCAAACCTTAAGTTCTGGAGAAAGAACTTGTAGATATAAATGTTCAAAAGTAGATCCAGATAAAGATATTTTCAATTAAGACCATTCTCTGATGGTCTTTCTACATCAAAGAAATCAGAAACAAAGTATATACTGATAGTAAGAGTAATTACCCACCCATTTGTTAAGTAAAAAGAAACAGGATTATGGAACAGGAGACTACTTTTGCTTTTGTTTTTTGGTTGTTTTTTTTTTCTGTCAGAGAGTAGTTGGAAATAGTTTAAAAAAAAAAAAAAAAAAAGGCAGATTTCTCCACAAAACTCAAAACCAACTCATTTGGTAAGAGATTCCAACTCCATTTTTGAAAACACTTCCTTTCTTTGCTTTTAAAATTCATTAAGATTATACCACAGTGTGACACATCCATGTCTTCAGTAGAGAATAAAATTTAAATGTCTATGATAAAGACTAGGTATTCCAATGACCCTTTGATTTGAGTTGTGATTCTCTGTAAATGAGCTAAGTGGTCTGAGTTTTGCAGTGCACCTTGGCAGGAGCAAGCCCAAACATCAGTATATGCAGCAATACTCTGCAGAAAGGTACTGCAAATCCTGGTGGATGCCCAGTTGCATCAGCTGTGTTCCTTAAGGGCGGTGCTCCCGTGCCACAAAGAAGGCTGATGGTATCATGGGCTCTTTCTGGTGGTGCCCAGAGGTGTTCCATCTGAACATGAAGGAACAGTTCTTTACTGCAAGTATGTTTGAACGCTGGCACAAGTTGCTCTCTTGGAGCTATTCAAAAGCCACCTAGGGATGGTCTGAAGCCCCCAGTACAAGAAAGACAGGGAGGTGTTGGAGAGGGTCCAGAGGAGGGCCACAAAGATGATCAGGGGACTGGAGCACCTCCCCTATGAGGACAGGCTGAAGGAGCTGGGCTTGTTCAGCCTGGAGAAAAGAAGGCTGTGGGGTGACCTCATTGCAGCCTTTCTGTACCTAAAGGGAGCCTACAAACAGGAGGGGAATCAACTCTTTGAAAGGGTAGATAACTGCAGGACGAGGGGAAATGGTTTTAAGTTGAGGGAGGAGAGATTTATGTTGGACGTCAGGGGGAAATTCTTTTCAGAGAGAGTGGTGAGGTGCTGGAACAGCTGCCCAGAGAGGTTGTGGATGCCCCGTCCCTGGAGGTGTTCAAGGCCAGGTTGGATGGGGCCCTGGGCAGCCTGGTCTAGCATTAAAAGGGAAGGTTGGTGGCCCAGGGGGAGTTGGAGATTCATGATCCTTGAGGTCCCTTCCAACCCTGGCAATTCTGTAATTCTGTGTCTGGGGCAGCTGCCTCTAGGTGGCCCAACTTGAGGATGACAGAGCCCCTTTCAACCTCATCAATTTTGTGATTCTGTGCAATTTTCTTTCAAGTGCAGCTAGGAGCAAGGAGCAAGAGTAAATCTTACTGATTTATTGTCATGTAAGTTGGTTTTTTTTTTTTTTTTTTACAAAGACTTTATTAAGAGAATTTATTCCTAACTTTTCAAGTTATATATAGGAGGTTGTTGAAAGTTTTTCATTTAAAATTCTGGAAGCACTTCTCATTGTAGAGCCAAAAAAAAAAAAAAAGGAATGTGACCCAGTTGCTAAGTAACAAGCTTCAGTTAATTCCAGATTCTGCAGAGAAGGACTTGTACTCAAAAGTCAAGACTGCGGCAGAAAGAGAACGCTGAAATTAAAACCTGAATAACCCTTAGCACTAAAGAGTTTGTATTGCTTTTACAGCAGTTTGGGAAGCCTTTTACATGGAATGTCTGTGGTGAATATATGCAGCCCTATGTATCCTATCAGGAACACTTTACAGTAAGAATTTTGAAAGAGGAACAACTGGTCTGAAGAAGCTTTTGGTCTGGCTTGTTTGCCATTCCTTGTTTTTGTTTCTACCAATGAGGATAATCCAAACAAAGCCATTCTAGTTTCTTTCCTTGGCAGGAAAAGAGTCCTGTCATAGTCAATATATATGTATCTTTTCGACTGGTTTGATTCTTTGTGTTGTCATGTCTCTTCTATTTAGTTATACTTTTCAACTTTCCAATTTACCTTCAGCAAGGAAGAATCTGTAGATATATTTTGTTTTTGTTAGACTCTGTCATATAGGCTTATTTATTTTCAGTTCAGTGTTCCAAATTTAGTTGAGCAGTTAATTGTTTCCTTACCAAATGTTTCCTTACCTTAAAAATATAGTCTTTTTCTCTAAGTTTCAATCAGCAATGATTTCCTGTTATTCTAATATACCCCTAGAATATGATGAAAGCTAAACTAGTTATGTGGTATAGTGGAAATAATGTCAGAGTCTAATTGTCTCTTCTTTGAAAATAATGTCTTGGGGTTTATTTATCTTTATATAGTATGGAAATTCTTTGTCCTGTGGCAATTTTTGTTCTGTCATCAGTCCTTAATTGGATTTTCAAAATTAAGTTTCAAATGTGATTTCATTAAGAATCAGGTTTTCATGACAACATAGGTGCTGAAAGTAAAAATGTAAAAAGGAAGGATAAAAATGGACCAAATATCACAGCAATGGCAAATGCATTGATGAATGTTATATTTAAGCTGTTCCACAAGTAAACATAAACTAATTAAATTGTGTCTTTTTACTTAACTTTGCACACACTGTCTTATTAACAGGAAATAACCCTGACTGGAGGTTATCAACATAGGTCATATTCCCAAGTTCCACGAGAACATGTTGTTACACTTTGGCATCCGAATGGAATAAATCTTCCATTTCCTTCTTTTATTACAGCTTTGTATTATATTTTATAAACCATGATAAATCTTAATATTGGCAATGTACAATATTAGTGTCACAGCACAGTATTAGTTTTTTGTAAATATTTTTATAGAATATATTCTATCCATATCTCTATCATGTTACTATTACGGCAGTTGGTGATGACTGTTGTGTGATCAAGAGAACTGGTGGAGAATTGAAAGAATAATGGCTCCTTCAGCCTGTGGTATGCAAGAGGAATGATATGACTGATGACTGATGGTTGCCATTGATTTCTGAGTTTAGTTGATAGCAGTTTATAGCTGGTTTGGCTTGTACTTTACTGGGCAACACGGCCTAAAAGTTCTCTGTGTAAAAATATTGACTAGAAAATCATAGAATTGTAGAATGGCCTGGGTTGAAAAGGACTACAATGATCATCTAGTTTCAACCCCCCTGCTATGTGCAGGGTCGCCAACCAGCAGACCAGGCTGCCCAGATCCACATCCAGCCTGGCCTTGAATGCCTTCAGGGATGGGGCATCCACAACCTCCTTGGGCAGTGATTGTATTAAAGTGATTGTCAGGAAGTGATCAGTTAAAAATGTTTATCCTTAACCTTTGTTATTTCTTTCAGGAAATTGAAAGGTTGGAAAGTAAATTAAATCAGAGCCCAGAAAGATGGCAGCTTTTGTGGGAAAGGGTCAAAATGAATCTAAAGGATGACACTAGACAAGACAATGTAAGTAGCAAAGGAACTCTTCCAGCACAGGCTTTATAGGCTACCTGGGTCACTGTCAAAATCACTGTGTTTCTTGGAGTAAAATACTGCTTTTGAAAAACTGAACATGTTGTTCTAACCTTGGATAGCAGCTCTGTATCTCTACACATAGAAAAACATGTTTATACTTATACCATTTACTTAATTACTTCTCAGCAGTAGATTAAAGGCACGTAGACAAAATGTGCTTGAGCACAAGCGTTTTACTAGTACACAATAGTATTACTCAATATTATTAAAATATTCATTGTATCAAAGTCTTCAAGTACAAAAAAAGTCAGTTCCTGGAGGTAGCCAAAAGGAAATGACAGAGGTTCAAGGATAAGTAAAGATATTTCCATGTGTACATGGAATTTTGGAATTGTAGATTCTGATGAAGGCAGAAATTGTTCGTGCTATGTTTCTAGTTCTTGACTCCTGTAAAATGAGTAGCTGACATTGCAGATATTTTCTAATTCAAAAGCAACTTTTTTTTTCCTTTTCTTTCTTTCTCTCTACATGCACTAAGAAGTTTGTTAGATAATGGCTTTTGGGAGCTTTCTTTATCAACTTGGCATAAAACTGTGCCATAACTCTTCAGCTTCACAAACTTGTTCAAGTTTGCCAGCCTTTGTGAGTTTGTTAGTCTTCAGAACTACTCTGTTATTTGTCCTTTGCTTTCAATAAAGCAATAAGCTTTATGTCTATCGTAGTCATTAAAGTTCACCTTATACTTAGACAAACCCAGAATGGGAGGTTTTTTATATGAGCAAAGCAGAGGATTAAGTTTTTATTGAATAATTGGAAGCAGAAAAGAAAATGCAAGTATAAATGTACCTGACATCAGTCTCTTGTTCTCAGATAAATGTAATAGCTAAGAGTCAGCCCCAAAGAACTCTCTAGGATGCTGTTCTGCAGATTGAGACCAAATTCAGGATACCTGTTGCTCCAGGTTACTGAGAATCTACTAAAATGACTTAAGTAGCTCTTGGAAACTTCACTTTTTTTTTTTCTTTTCAACTAATGAATTTATGGAAATTTATTGTATCCAGATGTCTGATTAGTTCTAGATGATTCTGAGAAAGCAAGGGAAGCAGTATTCAAGTTTATGTCACTGGAATAAAGAAGGCTTTTCTTAAATAATGTCTTCTCACACTTTCTGAATGTATCCTTCTGCATAGGAAATGCAGTGAAATGCCATCTCTATGATTCTTCAGAGGCAGCACTGATTTGTATTATGAAGATTTTTTTTCTCCCATAGTGATTCACAATTTACACATTGTACCAAATATTATTTGTGTAGTATTGAGATCATCTCAAAATGCATGACAAACAACTCAATTTCTACAGTGGACAGAAGTGAAATAGGAATAATATTACTGAGAAAGAGCAAGCTGGTGTGTATCTCTACCGTATGTTTGTCATGTTAAAGGTTTACCTTGTTTCAGTGAACAATGATTTTGTGTTCTGTGTGTTGCTACACACATTTTTATTTTGCAAATAATAAACTGTAGATCAAGTCAAAACAATATGCTGAATACTTAATATTATAAAGGTGATTACACACCTTACTTCCTCACAGAAAGTTCAAATTCCAAAGAACTGCTGATGTTCAACTTGCTGCAAATTTGTTTTAGCAAAGAAATTGTTGCAAATGTTTTAGCAAATCCTTGCCAAGTATCAACAGATCTTACCAGGGTAAGGTTGCATTTATTGTATAAGCACTGGTAAAATTAAAGCTGAAAAGCCATTATGTCAGTGTTCACAGATGGGTACAAAGCTGATGGCTGAAATTGTGAAGTTACACCAGAATTCAAACCCATGAGATGCTCTCTCTATTGAGGAGTGCATTTCCATTAAAATTGCACTTCTGAATTCTCTTCAGATTCCTCTTGCACACAGCAGCATTAATGAGAGCAATGAATATGGACTGGGTTCTGATTAATTGGGACTAAAAGCATGTAAAAATAAAATATTAACAGATCTTTAGTAATAGATCAGCTGTAGTTCTTCACTATTCATATTTTTAATGCAAATTCTTAACTGTATAGACTACCAGGAAGAGTTGTAGGTCGTGTTTATTACAAAAAGAATGTTATGTTTTGGTTTTCTACTGTAATACATTTATAATGTTTAGTTCATCAAACAATCAGATTTCTCAGTTCTAAATTTGTCTAGATCTTGTTAAAGATTTTTTTTCTTTTATTTTCTTCTTTTTAGCTTCAGAGACATCCTTCTGGCTCCTCAGGGATGATGTCAGCTAATCTACATTCCTATCAAAAGAGATCTTTGTTGGAAATGCCTGACAATGGGCTGGGTGAGGAACAGAGTGCAAGCATATCTCCCTCCAATGGAGTAGATAGGAGAGCAACTACTCTATACAATCATTTCACATCAAAGAATGATGAAAATAGGTAAACCAAACAGTAAAAGTATTTATGAACCTTGTATTAGAATGGTAGAAACCCTAGGAAAAAAATGAAACTTTTGTATACACAGATCTTCCAGTCTTTCCTTTTATAGAACAGGAAGGTTTTGGTCATGGTTGTCCAACCTTTTGGCTTGCCTGGGCTGCACTGACTGAAGTTGTCTTGGGCCACATATACACAGGTTGCTCTGAAAGTAATGCTGTATATTTATTTTCCATTGAAACTACAACAGATACAAAGAATACAATAACACTGTTCAATAAGGCAAATTCTCAGCTACAAAACACTATTTTTCAACATAGGCACCACCATTAGCTGTTCATTTTTGCCAGCAATGAACAAGAAGCCTGCATGCTGCGCTGATAAAACTTTGCACCAGTAGAGCTGATGCAGTATTGCTCTCACCACTGCTGAAATGCACCACCACCACCTGATTGTGCTCGCATCCAGGTTTCCAGAAACAGCAAGTGTTGATGAATGTCAGCGGGTGCAATTTTTTCCCCATGGAGGAATTCAGTTACACCACTTTGCTTCATGCTCACTTCCATGTCAGATGCCATTTTGTCAGACTGTCCCTCTGCCGCCGTCTCTCACACAGCAACAACAAGGGAATATTGGTGGGAAGGTTCAGCCCCTACTGTCGTACCACCAACATCTGCCTCTGATGCTGTGGGCCATCATAGTAAAACAGGAGACATTTTAATATTTTTCTTAAGATGTTAAAAAGTGAACAACAGAGACATAAAGGTAGTGGGACATTTGACCCTGTTTTTTCCAAAACTAATGCATCAGTCTGGTTTCTTGGCAGTAGTTGCAATTTGCAGTGAAGTCACAAGGGTTTCATCAGAGATTTTTGTTGAAATTTTACTCTTCATATATTTCATCCTAAATAATTGTTCACAAATGTACATTCTACTAAAAAGCAATCACATGAATAAGGCATGGTTGTGAAGCAAGGGATATTTTTCTCTGGTAAGATAGGGCTTATCATGTCTCTCTACGAGACTTTTATCACGTTTTCGAATTGAATATCTGATTGCAACTCTATGTTTCATTTGAAAAGTTGGAGGTAATGTATTTATATCAACTGAAAATGGTGCCAGGCTGCATGTAGTCCTTGGGCCACAGGTTGGACATGCCTCGACTGTAGCTGCATATTTAAGGGATCTAGAGTACTGAAATAATGTTTATCACTGTATCAGTCACCAATACCTAAACTAGGCTGTTGTTTAAAAATGATCTGTTTCATTACAGTAAAAGAAATACTTAAATTTTTTTAGTCATTTTGAGTTTTATATATCATCACCATTCAAATTACAGAATCATGTGTCGTTTGTATTTTCTGCATCTTCCAGATCTTTTGAAGGTACGCTATACAAAAGAGGAGCTTTGCTGAAAGGTTGGAAGCCTCGCTGGTTTGTGCTGGATGTGACCAAACACCAGGTAAAAACTTTTCAATAATGGATTTTTTTTTTTTATGACAAGTTTGCTGCATTTTTATTTATTGACTTAGTTTAATTTTACAAATAATTAGCAATAATAATAATTACTTTCAGAAGCAATGTGTGTATTACATTATTATAGACTGTGTGTATACTGTGTGACTGATAAAATTCTGAATGGACAGTTTGAGAAGGTAGCAATTTTTAAAGCATTTTTAACTCTACAAGATCATTAAGCAAATAAGTGTTGAGTATAATCAGGCATTCTAGTATGGCCCCTTTAGTTTCCAGAAGAACCAAGATCTGTTTTAAATAGCTGGAAACTTAGAAGGTAATTTCTTGACTGCAGTTGGGATTCTGAAAGATAATATGGTAACTGATAGCAAGTTTCAGTCTGGTGTTCTTGTTAAAACTGGAGTAGTACTTCATGCTCCCAAAGCACGTATTTTACATCCTCTTTGCTCCTCAAGTACTTTATCATGAGCATTTGTCTTTACATGAAATAACATGATATTCTCTGAAAAAATATCATCTTTTGTGGAAAACTCCATTTACCTCACTTGGCATTTGTGGTGCTTTTCTGTAATCTGTATTTGAGACAGCTAACGTGAGTGAAACCTTGGAAGTATTTTCAAATCTGAAGAATAGGAACAGCTATCTTTCTGAGATCAGTTAGAATTTTTTAAATAAAGTGAGTTAGAATTTCACCCCCAAATTCCCCCTCTAAAGTCTTCAAATGCCAAGCTCCTGGTTAAACAATAATTTTAGGTGGTATAGATAGGAGTAGTTTAGATTATTCACAGTGAGGTAAGTTTAATAGCGAAATAATTCATAAATATTCTGAAAAATCATTGTACATCAAGAAGCACTAAAAATAGGGTATCTGTTGGCCTAAACCTTAAAATGTTTTTTAATTTGATCTGATTAATGATCAGATTAATTTAATTTTTAATCTGATTTACAGAATTTGACAGTGGAAATCTGTGATCTTGCGTGCTTAATATTGAGTGATCAAGAAGTAATCTTTACTGAGCAAAATGTTCCACACAGCCACACAGTGTAGGTTGTTCAAATAACCTCTGAGACTTGTGTATGCTTTGTTAGAAAATATATTAATGCATTGTAATTTACACACCTTAAAAAATATGTGATACAAGACAGTCATTTTTAAGCCACTAATTGAGGATCTCTGGAATATGCTAGGTGGTAATATACTAGCAAATATGCTAATTGTAATTGTTCATCCTGAAACAGAGGAGAAAAGTCTCATTCTGCAGAAGAAAACAAAAAGACACTTACATTTTTTGTAAACCAAATATCCTCCTGAATATCACAGATATAAGAGTATATGCAGTCTGAAGCAGATACAAGTCGATTGTAGCTTGAATTCTGTTGTGTGACCTTTGCTGGGTTTGCTTTACTATTATGCATCTGTTTATGGGTTGTTGCATGTTTTTTTTTTAAGTGAACTCTAGATTTTATCTTCTAGAATGATTTGCATATCAAAACTCAGTTTACAGTGATTTGCATTCATATTAAAGTATCTTTGCTAGGTGAAAAAAGCAAGTTTTGTTCAACCACTAAATGTAGGAAAATTGGAGTTTTCTGTGTTTATAATTATCTAAAATCATTCTTAAATTTTTGCTGATCATTTTATATTCTTGAAATACAGAGAATGAGTATTTTTTAAAATCTTTGGTGAAGTAATGTTCTTGTGTTAGTTTCATTGAAATTAACAGGGAAGAGATTGCTTCTGGACAGAGGATTTGTGAAGGATAAGAGCAGAATCTAGACTTCGAGTCAGCATTCCTTATCAGTTTTTCTGACAGAAGCAGTGTTTAACTGCTAGAAGCTTCTCTGCTCTGAGACTCTCATGACAACACGTTCTCTCAGTTCAGTGATCTGCACAGGAGTGGATGGTGGAGACACTGATATTAGCCAGAGATATCAAATAGAGGTCTGGCCAGTAAAAGGCTCTCAACAGTCCCACTATCTTGTGTATACCAGACCAATGGCTGTGTCTTACCAATTGCCCAAGTGTGATGGCTTCAGGTGTTAATACTATTTTTTCTTCTTACCTTCACTCCCCAAATCCCCAAGTTATATCCAGGGAAGGGATAATAAAAATGAAGAGTCTGAATAGCATATTTGGATTTAACTTTTCTCTCTCGTGTGGTCTAGTTACGATACTATGACTCTGGTGAAGATACAAGCTGTAAGGGTCACATAGACCTTGCAGAAGTAGAAACAGTGATTCCTGCTTCTCCAACTATTGGAGCCCCAAAACATGCAAGTGAAAAAGCATTTTTTGATGTAAGTATATCTGGTTTTTATTTGATGTTTACCTGAAACTTTGTTTAACCTACTACTTTCATTCCTTCTGGAAGGCGAGAGCTTGAATGGAGCTGGCGTGCAAACTCAACACAAAAAGTTTTTATGCAGCTATCTAGTCATGATTCTCAACAGCAGTAATTAAAACAAACAAACAAACAAAAATTCAGACTGAATTAGTAGATTACAGCTGAAAGTAAAATTTAAAAGTTTCTTCTTCTACTTTGTGTGTTGACTTTTCATGTTCTTATTTTTCTTTTGCAGTTGAAGACAAACAAACGTGTGTATAATTTTTGTGCCCAAGATGCACAGAGTGCTCAACAATGGATGGACAGAATCCAGAGCTGCATTTCAGATGCTTAGAAAGGAATAACATTCCATAATCAAGATATGTTTAAAGCAACTCTTTTTGTAAGATGTGTTCTGAAATGTTGCTGACAACCAGCCTTCCTTACATTTCAGCTATAGACATTGATAATATGCTGAAGTTTCTTTTCTGTTTAATAATTATAACCACTGTAACCATTTTTTTTTTCCTGCAGGGAGGACTTTGAAAAATAATAATTCATTTATTCTGAATTTCCACTTTCTTCAGTACAATTCCTAGCTATAAAGTGAGCCGTATTTGCACTATTTTCTAATCCTGATTTTCTCATTTCAGAGTTGCTCTGATAAGGAAAGCTGTCCAAAGTAGCTTGTAGAAATCTCTACAGCAGAAAGTCTATTTTCTCCTTATTTATATTTTTAAACAGAAATTCTTAATTCCAAGGTAGTCGCTAATAAGAGGAAACATGTCTACACGTCTCCTAAAAAGAAAGAAAGAAACAAAGCTTGTGAGTCCAGTGACATATATCTCAGATTGTTGATATTTAAACTGTTGATATTTTTTTAAGACCAAAAAATGAAATTGCCAGGTAACAGATTTTCAAGCGTCTTCTCAGCATGCAGGCCAGTCTTTAATCTCATGCTCTACAGAGTGCTTCAGCAACGTTGTTATGGAATTTCAAGTTCTAGGGATTATCTGAAGATCATAGCACTTTCTTTTTAGATTCTGTTTGCTATTATGGTGGGTTATGTGAAAGAAATCTGGCTGACACTATCATAGAGATACAGGAAAAAAAACAAACTAGGAATTTGGTAGAAGGAAGATCTCTTAAGTGTGAGTTGTATATGTTAATTTATATGCTGTTCTGCTCACTGTAAAATAAAAAATAACAAACGTGATGATAATGCACTAAACAGTGGAGCAAGCACTTGCACTGAAATCTTTAAAATGCTCACATTTTGAATGACAGGTAAGTTATTTATAGCAGAACAATACTAGCTAGTTAACATTTACAGATATTAAATAATGTAAATAATCTGGTTTGATGTGTTGTGATTTGATACTTTTTAAACATTTTTTGCACATAAATTGGAAGACTGTTTATAGATTTTTACATTTGATAAAATTGTGTTTGTTCAACTTAAAATCTTGGGAGAAATGTGTTTAATAACCCCAAATTATTAAAAGTTTTACAGTCTACAAATAGTGATGACATTGAGTAGAATCTGTAGGTAACTAAGCCATTGTTTTTATTTTGATATGTTAATATGTTAAATAGCACACTAATATTACAAAAAATGTATATATGATTCAGTATTTTCTCATTTTTTTTCTAGACATTCTGCTTATAATTTAATGTCAGCCTAATCAAACTGACTATACTTATACAATTTTTCAGTTATTAATTTTTTGTTTGTTTTTTATAACTAATGTATTTTGTCAGAAAGGAATATAAACTTCTCACTTCACATACACAATAGGAAATGCAGCTGTTTTTAATGCATTTACAATTTCAAAACAAAGAAAATGAAGGATTTTTCTAGCATTTTTCAATTGACAAATTTCCACCTGTGACAATGGTGTTTGCACATTTGTATGTTTCTTTGTATATGAAGTACTTTTATATGTACTTTGTAAAATACTGATCCTGCTATTAGGTTATATGAAAATTTACATACCACTTCTTATTTTGTAACTAGTTCATTTTAACTCTTGTATGTTCTGTGATATAATCATCTTGTAATAAATACACTTCTTAAGTAAAACCCTTCCTTTTACTGTAAAAAGAGAAATCAGCAAGACCCCACATGTTGAGATATTTCCACAGGCACAAGACAAATCCTTATTTACTCTGTATTAAGAATTGTATGGTCTTTTGTATACTTGTACATATTCTTACACAAGAGTTGCACTTCAGCATCCTTAACTCAAACACTTGTCAACAGTAACACTAAAGACTAAAGAAATCAGAATTTAAAGCAAGATTATCATTCTAACAAGTCTCAATGTATGGCCTTTATGAAAAGACTAAATATGTAACGTTTATACTAAGTTGTTGAATAATTATGTTAAATATTAGGGGAAAAAAAGGGAAAAAAAGATTTTTCCTATATGCTCTCACAACATAAATCAGCCACGTACTTTTCACCATGAAACATATCTCGCTCATTTATGTTACTTTATTCATAAGCAATCTAGTATGAAATAAATAAAATGTAAGAACTGACAAGATCTTATTGGAGAATAGGTATCTAAATTGAATTCCTGAGTGTAGTGTGGGTTAGCAGAGTTAAAATGGAAAGGGAATGTGTGATGGAGGTAGGGGACTTGTGACAATTCTTAAATGCTGTGGTGCTTAGAGTTTGCATATTGAGCTTGGCATGAATGCTAATGTTGCCTTAAATGTTGATCTCAATTTTTAGTGTCTGTATTGATGGAAAATGGACTTGAGCAACTTAACTTAAAAATATCCAAATAAAAGTTGAAATGAGATATCAGTATTTGTGTTGTTTATGTAAGGAATATACAAATGAATGCCAGGCCTACATAGGTTCATGGCGTAAAGACAAAGAATTAGTAGTGTACCTTAGGATCTCTCCTATACAAAACAAAGATTCAAATGGAAACTCAGAAGAAATGTGTAGAAGTTTGAGTAGCATAAGTTGCAAGGCTTTTCAGCCCGTTTGAGTTGTGGCAGCAAGAGTAAGGAAATAAAAGGAGAGAATTAGTTTGGGAAAAACTCCGTGTGAAAAGGTATCCATCTTCTTCATGCTCCTTGAAAAAGGAACCCTTCCAGGAGTTCGGGGTGAGGGAAGTATGTGCTTTCTCTATTTCATATCATTTCTATACTGTGTATTATAAATTGAAAAGACAGATAATTAGCAGGGGCTCTTTACTTAAGAGAAGATGGATTTCTTAGCTTTGTTTGTGTTGAGAAACAAACTGATCTTAATAGGTGATGGGATGAACTGAATTTAAGTTTCGAAGAGTTTCACAGGCATACTATACTAGAAATTTCTCCTTTTCTAACACTTAAGCATTTTGTATTCCATATTTTGTATGGAACTTCGGAATTATTGTATTAAATAATACAGCTCAGAACATGCCACATGTGTGGGTCACTGGTTACGTAACAATACACAAACAGCTAGGACCAAATGTTCAAAATTTTCTATCACATCCCACACACATTATTTGTATCGGATACTTTGCAAACTGCAGACATAACAAAAATGTAGTGATTTTTTCCAAATACTGTAATTTTGTTTTTTCATCCTGTAATATTCTTGGAGTATGCTTAAGTGGCTACACCGCATTTCTCATTTTTCATATCTGTGATCATCCAAATATTTTGTCTGTTCATGATTATCCTGTGGTTGCTTTGGGGAGTCAAAAAACTGAAATGAGTCCACCAGTTCCCCAGTTATGCTAAAGTTCATGCTGAGTATCACCGTCACATCTACTTTTAGAGTTTTTGTCTGTATTAGTTTAGTTTCTTGCCAGATTTTGGCTACTGTGTAAGCCTGCTCATTTAAGAAATTTTCATCTTTGTGGTTTTTTTCATGTGTAGCAACTTTTATTAATTGTATGTCAAATAGAGATGCTCCAGGTTCAATGTCATTTACTCTCTTTGCTTACTCTCCCATCTAGACTGCAAAAGGAATGGATTGCTGATACAAGGACTGCTGATAGGAATTGTTTTTGTTTTCTCTTGCATAATACAAAATCTCCAAGGTCTAATTTAGCCTATTGTTATTTTTCTGCTTTAGACCTTTCTGGTTTAAGCTGATAAGAATTATCACCCAGAGGAACTCTTCAATTCTGTGTCTTTAATCCACCACTCTTTAAGATTGCCTACATGTGCACATGCGTGTAGTGAACTGTCTACCATCTTTATCTGCAATCACACTCCAGTAATTAAAAGTCAGATACTAAGTTAAAAGGGTAAGATTCCCTTCTTTCCACTGACAGTTATTGAAATTTCTCCGTTGTCATATTTTATAATCAACTGTAAAATAACACAGCTTTTGGTAAGCCAAGAGTATCATAGTGATCACCTGAGACATCCCTGAGAAGATGAGTCTTTCTTCAACTGAGATACCTGATTTCGTATGAGGGTTCTATGTGCTACTTCTAGAAAATTCTCAAAACCCAAAGTTGGAACAGAAGTTAAAGCTGTATTTTAAAGACAGTCTGTCTAATGTTTATTTGTTTATACCTTCATCTCTATGCAGACTTTACAAACCAGAAGATGCATTAGTGGCAGCTGAATTAAAATTCCACATCACTAGTCGTATCTACCCACAGTACTGTCCTATTTGTCTTTTTTATGGTGGCCTGATCTGATTGACCTCTGCTTCTATAAAATACTGCTTGTTGTCAACATCCAGCATGGAACTAATGCTCAATTTCAAGTTGCACCGTGTGGTTCATGATTCTTATATTTTTCAGATTTTGCACATTCTTGAATAGGAAATATTGCTTGACTGTGGCAAATTTAAAGTTATGGTTTCCATTCCATGTGTTTTTTAAATGGATGTTTTGTTTAAATGTCTTATAGGGAATTCTTAGCCTATGGTTTTGTCTACAAAGTGGGTAATAAATAGAAGATGGAAATAGCTAAGATAAAAATAACATTATATTTCCTGGAAAGAGATATAAACATAGCTGGTTTTTTACATGTTAAATGGTACTTGATATTTTGTCTTCATTGTGGTTTATCGAATGTCTCTCACTGTTAAAGTCAGTAAGGATTCTTGTATTTCAGTTCCCCTAAACCTACCACCAAACAAGACCTCCAGACCTTGTAGTGTTCCTTTGCATTAAATATCTCCATTTATTGTCCAGAATTGATGCTAGATTCAACATCACTGCTTCATGATGGGCAGATGGGATTATTTCGAGTTTAATACCAGAAGGTGTTTTGTTCAAGTGCTTTCCCAGTAAGGACAAATGCTCAAAATATGAGCAGTATACTGACAGCACTGCATTCTTTGCCAGGTTACAGTGGCTGCAGGTCATAATTAGTAGTGCTGGTGAGTTCAAAATTGTATCTACATACAAGACCTCCAGTAAGTTCAAAATTGTAACTACATAAGTTTGCGGATAAGTATATGAATTAAGTTCAATATAGTAGATAATAGTACAGGTAAAATCACTGTTTAAATGCTTATGGGTTCAGGTTCTGTGTATAGTGGATTGTTTTTGTGCCATCACAGCGGATGGCACAGAGCTTTTTTATTTGTGCTGTACTGTCACTGGCAATCATGTTAGCTGAATGAAATGCTTACAGTAACATTTTATTTGTATAAAAAATACACAGTAAAAACATTAAAGTCTTTGTAGTATTTCATGAAGGCAAATGATTTAGAATTGGAATTTTGAAGAAAATGTTGGAGAGTTAGCAACCCAGTTAACACTCAGTATTGATGAAGTCAGACAGAGTGTTTTCTCTGAGATGCCTGTAAGGTATTACCCTTTATGATACCCTTTTAAAATTTACAGGAAAGGTTTTTATTTAGAATATGTGTCCTTTTGGTAGTGCCCCCCAGTTAGTCTTGTTAGCTCATGTAACTGCTTTTAAAATTAATGAGATGAAGTTCAACAATCTCTTACGCTTTCCCTACTTGTTCCCAAAACAATGTTTCATTCTTTAGAACTGTTTTCTAGGAAAAAAAAAGTTAAAATTAAACTCAAAATTATCTTGGCTTCTTCCACCTTAGGCTCTTGACTCAAAGCAAAGTGCTTGCAGACAGTCTTCTCAGGTATGAACATGTAGCAATACCTGAAATCTGGAAAATATCCCATCGAGTGATAATGAACCAGAGCCAGGAACAAATTGAGGAGTTATGGTATGTAAAATCATGTCATTGATCACTGTATGTATCATTTATGTTAACAGTGTCAAGACAGCCTGAAGGTTAGATTACAGTCTCTAAAAGGTCTAAAATTTTGCTACAGCAGACAACTGGTTTTGACCTAAAATATCTGAGATTTGTATCCTCTTCTTCCTACATAAATGTTCTTCCAAAATTTTGTCTAATGACAGAAATTTCTATAATCACTTTTTTGCCAGTCATTTCAATTGTTAAATCACACGTCTGATCAAATAGCAATAATTGGGATAGCCTCAGAGTAAAAAAACAAACATAGCTATTCACTATGACACTGAATTATTTTTTTAGTTGGAGGAATACTGCACACAGAGTTCTATTGTGTTACGTGAGTAGATGTTCCTTTTTTTTTTTTTAATGTAAGGAAAGCATTTCTTATTTGATGGTGGCATCCCAAGAAAGCTTGATAATTTATTTATAATATGAGTATGTGCAACCTAAATAGACAGGGATCCTAATGTTTATCTTGGGATTCCAGTCCACTGTTCTTTGTTAATCTTCTCTGTTAACTATCAGTCTGAGTTGTGTGAAAGTGTAGTGAGGCCTACAGTGGCACTTGAAATTACAAACTGTATTTCTGCTTTCATTAGTCCATATTAGAAGTCAGGATTTTAGATAAACCTTTGTATATATTTTTATCCAAGTCAGGATGAACAGAAATTATGAAGGCTATAGAGATCAAAACATAGAAAGGCACAGGAGCAAATCCAGCCCTGGCTGGTATTTAGCACCTAATGCAACAAGAAGTCGATGCCAGTGTAAAACAGATCAGAATAGTGCATATAAGCAGCTTGGCACTGGCTTGTCTATTGGATAATCAAAGAGGAAAAGGGGAGGTGACAGGGGAGTGTAAGAAAGCTCATGCTGCAAATAAGAAATGCAGGTAAGTGGGCTGTGGAACTGGGTCCCAGAAACTTACATCTCCAAAATGTAGTAAAGGAAGTCTCCCAACCTCCTTCACCTGAGCAGTTTTGTTATCTGTTCTCCAAAAAATCTTTCTTTATGCTTGTCTCACTCTCTGTTTGGTGTTTTTGACCTTTGCTTGTCTGATCACGTCTAAATTTAGATGAGGAATTTTTGAGAAGCAGAGATTGGTGTTAACTTGTTCCCTAGAGGTGTCTAGAGTACTTCCAGGTGCTGTGATATAGTGCAAGCCAAAAGGGAAACAGACTTTGTTTAATAAAGCACCCCAAAACTAGTGGCTAATTCAAGTCGTACACCTATTTTGGAGGGTAATTAAACAGTGTTGGCAATTGAGATTAGTCTGCCATAATGGATAAGGGGCCACTTAAAAAAAAAAAACTGGGATCTGAGCCTGGATTTCAGACACTCTCAGCATTTGACATGAGATTATCGCTTTTTGGAACTGGATGAGCAACATTGAAGAAGGAGGTTAACATGAAGCCAACAACAAGTATGCTGAACTCGGGTCATTGAAAATACCATTGCTAATACTACTATAAGTGTATTTCCAGTAGAACATCACAGCTTTGTTTATCAAAAGCAGACAGCCATATTATTATCAGCTGCTGGAGATGGGTGCAAAGGATGCACTGTCAAGTCTCTGCTTCGGTTTCCAAATTTGGGCATTATTTCTGTGATGTAACATACTTTTCTCTTACATGTATGTTCTCAATTGTTAAATAGTTAGTAATACAAGAATTTATACTTATAGTAGAATATGGATGACTGGTTTAATGGTTAACCAATTTATTTATTTGCTGCATAATCCAAAATAATCTGGTTGCGTATTTTCTTGCACTTCCCTTCAGCCTCATGATCATGAACTATACTGTCAGTGGCAGAATAGAAGGAGAAATAGGCCCGTTTGTTGACCAAAAATTGCTAGTCCATTGCTGTGTAGGCTAATTACTGCTAATATTGTTTTAAATTATTTTATAACTAATACTGTTATTTTTTGTAACAATGAGTGAACTCGTAGTCATCTATTTGGAACTGTGGGGCACACCTAAAATTAAATATTTGATGCATATACTTGTTTTCCAAGCTTAAAATCATGCAGCTATCATGCTTTTTCTGTTTTACCCACTTAGTAAAGAAGCAAAAGCTAGAAGTGACATGCCAGCAAAAGCAGGCCCTTGTATCACTCATCAGTGCTAGAGGTACTATAATTAAACAACCTTGGTAGATAGTACAAGCACTTAATTTTCTTTAGTTTGCTATTAAATTGTCCAAGCATACTGGAACTTTTGTTGCATTAAATAAAGCTGTTTGATTTAAAGATTCAAGCAGTGTTAATGTACTAGACATTGTAAGAAGAAATAATCTATAGCCCTTGAAAAAGATGACAGTTAAAACACCATGCAGCTTTTCTTAGAAAATTAGAAGTCTGGTTTGCAAAGCTTGAAGGAAAAGGGAGATAAGAAAGAAACTTGTCCCTTTTAAAGAAATGGACAGTAGTTGCAAAAGGAGACCAAACAAACCCTCATATTTATTAACATCTGAATTAATCACTGCTGGGTTAAAAAAGATAAATGTTAGTAATAAATCTTTTCTTAGGAGTTCTGAATTTCTAAATGAAATACAAATTTCAGATTTCTGTGGCAGGAAATGTACCAATAAACACATGCATAATAAAAAATGCTAAAAGTAGATGCTAAATCTGTTAGTCCTTGCATTAGCAGTAACACCAGGTTAGCATTCAGTGAGGAGAGAAGGGACAGAAGAGTGAGGTAGTCTAGAGCTGGTAAGGCAGCAATCAGGAAAAAGGAAAAAAATGGAAGAGGGTTCTATACATAAAATACTTGGGAAATGCTCACGTTTTGCTTGGTATTGCTCAACCTAGCAGAGAGCTTAGAAAAATTTAAGGCTAAAAGTCTCAATCCCAGCACAGACAAAGATGGCAGACTATTTTTATCTAGGTTTGAGTTGTGTGTTTGAGTTATGCTGCAGGAGCGTGGAAGCCCTTTCTTCTGAGGGAAAAGCCAGGACAACCTAAGAGATGGAAACCTTGTTTGTTTTACGTTAATTTTACTATTTAAGTAGATGTTATTTGAATTAATGCTTTGTTTTTCTGAAAGAGAAAAAAAAAAAGATTGAATGAGGAAAGCAGATAATGAAGCCCTTGCCAGAAACAGATTCTGAATGGGTAAAATTGCACCTGAGGAGTTGCCCTGGGGTGCTGGGCCAGAACAACTGTAAACGTGCAGTGCAAAACAACTGAGTAACTGTAGATGGTTAACCAGCATGAAAGTGTCTGCAGCTGTCAATGGCTCTCAGCTGAGAATGGAGACCGACTGCTAGCTGTGCCTGGTAGAAGTACATGGCAACTGTTCACCTCCACAAAGGTTGGTAGAGGCCTTAAGCTGAGCAAACGTGGTAAAAAAGAAAGGTTGAAAAGAAGCACACCTAATAAATTCTGTAATGCATTCCTTATGCCAAGTGGGGTTTTCTCCTACTTGTTCTGGGTCTCCTCACAGAAAAAAAAGTGGGCCTCAGCCCAGGTATGGGCTCATGGACAGCCCAGCTGGGGCAGCAGGCACTTTATGAGTGACACCTGTGCCAGCAGGTGATTTAAACAAAGAAGGGATTGTAGCATTGGCCTTGCAAGTAGCACCTGTGTCAATTAACTGGGACTCTTTCAGACAGAGAAGGACTTGTAGCAGCAGCCATGTCTGTGGCTTTGTGTTTATTCCTCACTTAGTATCTGTAAGGTGGTAGGCTCTGGAAAGAGCAGTCTTTAGTACATGTAAAAAAGTCAAGGCTTTTTGGTTGAGGCTGCCTTTGCATGCAGCAGAACTCCTCTGAACTGTGTAAGAAGAAAACAGAAGTTGCTGTGTTACCAGTGTGTGGCATCCAACGCTCCCCAGCAGCTGCAGCATTGCATTTTGATAGAGCTTTGGTAACCCTGCCTTAAGGACAGGTTTCTACGTGGTTCTAATATATTTCGGGAATTCAACAGGTTTCAGCCTGGATCCCTCAGGTACGGTTTGTCTCCTCGTCATCTTCTTTCCTTCTTCTCTGTGCTTCTCCCAAATTCACGTCCAATTCGAGTGGCAGAAAGACATGCCTTACTACTTATGTTGCTTATCAGTGCTAGAAGTAGTGCTGATGAGAATTATTTGCAAAATTATATGCATATGTTTATATATAACAAACATCTATGTGTGATTTTAGATGTGGGGGTTCCTAGAGATAAGTAGCAGTCCTAAAGGGTTTGAAGAGCAGTGCTGTTATGATGTTGTAGTTCCTAGAATTATTGTTCTCTGTTAACTGCTAAAATGTGAAGATTTCCTTGCACCGTAATAGCTCAGTATGCAGCTATTAGTAGATCAGTGGTCTTTGAATGTGTTATTTTATTAATATGGTATTGGTGTGGGTTCTGTTCTGTTCTGAGTGATTGGTATGCAGGCTGTTTTGTTAGATATTGCAAGATCTCA